ATTTCAACATTAAACATTCCAGGGCCATACTAGTACAGACATGGTTTGGTATGAAAATCAGTGTGTGTGTTTTGGTGATTTTTTTGGTTTTGTTTTTGTTTTTTTTATAAATTATCATCATAAAATCAACATGGATTCAAATCATTTTGTCGTTTTTTTATGAGTCAAAGGATCATACGGGCCAGAAAAACTCAGGTTTTTCCATTGTGGTCACCACGAGAAGTTTTATGTGCGTGTTGAAAACCGATCATTGCAAAAATACAGGGGGTGCTTGATTAAGTTCTTTGTGTATATATGGCGTGAGAGTAAATACTACTTCTGAAACATATATATTATCTCAGTAATTGCTAGCGACAAAACACTTTTTATAAGAGATGGCTGATAAATCTTTCGTCGATTGAACAGCCGCAACTATATCCGTGAAGATAACAGTTAACTGTATGTCGAATTGTTTACTGACTGACAAGATTCTGCATAGATAGGGAGGGCGAAGGGCACGTTGATGCGTTCACGAGATAGAGAGTAGTAGTGTCAAAGTGTCAAAGGTTTTGGGCGGTATCCTTGGACTACAGAGGACAGATTTCGTATGTTTCAACATAAATCTCCCAGTGGTTTAGGCAATCCTGTTTTTCTAGTATATGCATGAAAAAACCCTATGACCATCTTCCAACAGGTCAACGTTCGACTACACGCAGTATGGAAGAGGCAAGCCTGTATTTCTGGTATCTGCAACAAAACCCTCTGACCATCGTCCTACAGGACAAGGCTCCACTACACGCAGTATGGAAGAGGCAAGCCTGTATTTCTGGTATCTGTAACAAAACCCTCTGACCATCTTCCAACAGGACAAGGCTCCACTACACGCAGTATTGAAGAGGCAAGCCTGTATTTCTGGTATCTGTAACAAAACCCTCTGACCATCTTCCAATAGGACAAGGCTCGACTACACACAGCATGGAAAAGGCAAGCCTGTATTTCTGGTATCTACAACAAAACCCTCTGACCATCTTCCAACAGGACAACGCTCGACTACACACAGCATGGTAGAGGCAAGCCTGTATTTCTGGTATCTACAACAAAGCTGCGAATCCCCATAAACTGTCACAAATGTCGACCAGGTGAACGTTTTGCAACACCCAGACATGTCTCATATTGAACACGTGTAGGTTAGGTGTAAATTTAGAGCAAGACAATTTCCTGTTATAAGTAAACAAATTAGAACTAGTTGAAGAATGACGCCGCACTCATTTGAAATCTGACGTATTTCGCGTTCGGCACACATCTTATTCACAAAACCTGTGACACTCCTGCTACTAAACTAATCTTTATACTATACCATACCACACTAAATGCTTATTTCACTGATCGAGTTAACCCGCCCTCAGTATATACCCATATGTTCATGTAGTATGATGTATTTGGATTATACACGTATCACTTTTCAACTGCCTGTTCTCCTCGGTTAATGATGTTATATCGTGCTTTGTATAGTTACTTTTTCCCAAGGGTATATCCGAGTACTTCTAACCTTATGGTATGAAATGCCAGTAACCCACGACAATAAGCATGCATAATGTTACCCCCTTGATATCTTAACTACCTCATAATACAGTAATACATCTTCTACACGAGCACATTCTTACAGTTGTGTCGAGCTTAAGGTTTTCTCGAAGTAAAAGCTTGGTCCTTGCGTACTCTTAATGTTGTCATCTGTTTATAATTTATTATTGGATATTTATATAGCGCACATATCCACGCACTAGTGCATGCTCAAGGCGCTGGTATTTTTTCCCTCGATCATTGGATGTCAATCTCAACGGCACATCTTATTATCAATCTCAACTCCCTGGGGATCATACAACTCTTGTGCTTGTGTCGAATATTGGATAACTCGGAGTATCTATGGTGTTTAACTGTACATGCCCATTTACTGCACCGCCAGATTTTCTAGTGAGAGAGAAAACACACCATCCCGGTATGTTTAGATGAAATTTTGTTCAATCTGAGTGGGTGTCTGTAAAAAAGGCTTGCAGTTTGTGCGTAACTTTTAGAACACACCTGTGATATTTTTACTGAATCCTTTTTAATCATGAAGTTTTCTAAGGCGCACATCTCTGAGGAATAAACTAATATTGGTTGGATGGTGTGGGCACCATGATGACAATTTCCAATTGGAGGAAATAACAAATATAGATTATGAAAGTTGATAGAACTATTTTATGTTTATAGAACTAAAGATATGTATAGATGTTGAAAATTAATCGCCTTGAGCATCCACTAGTTGCCTGGATATGTGCACTATATAAATATCCTATTATTATAATAATAATAATAATAATAATAATAATAATAATAATCTAAAAATATAACAACTCGTCAGCTCAACAATGCGACATTACGACTGAACTTTAGGACGGGGCGACAATGTCAAAACACGACATACCTCGACCGTTGACCTTTGGAAATGGCCAACATGTTAGGTTGTGACGCTTTCGCTGACATTGACGGTTGTAGTAGTAAGTGTAACAACGCCATAATGCAGAGACACGCCAATATCTCTTTAAGGTGGCCATAACACTTTGTCTAGTTTCAATGAAGATTCGTTATATGAACTGTGCAAGATTTAAATTTGTATTTGACTTTATAACAGACATTTTGCTTAATAAATGGACAGGCTGAAACCACATCTATATGTCTATATCCTTAACCTCTATGTAAAAGATTTAATAAATTCAGTTTGAGGATGTCCAAAATGGTTTCGTGGGCTTTACATTATCGTGAAGTATCATCACAGTATAGCAATTATTCTGTAATCTATATGATGACATAATCCAGTGTTTCTTTCAGGACGCCATGTCTTACAGGCCTATAAGCGTGTGTTTAATAATAATAATGATAATAATAATAATGAGTCCATTTGTAACGCGCTAAACTCCACGCCAGAAGGTATGCTCATAGCGCTACAAATTTGACTAGTTCACTAGTCGTAGTATTTCTTTAGTTCTGACTTGAAAACATCAAGACTTGGTGCTCTTTTCAGCTCTTCTGGAAGAGAGTTCAAGAGGATTGCAGCTTGAGTGGGAAATCGTCTGTAGCCAAATCCTGTAAGTCGCCACTTTGGGACAGTACAGAGAACCTGAGTTACGGATCTTAGTGGTCTGGTTGGGTGGTATTGCTTAATCAGCTCACAGAGGTATGGTGGTGCTTTACCATATAGATATCGATATGCAAGTGTCAGTACTTTAAATTCTATCCTGGCTTGAATAGGCAACCAATGTAGAGATTTTAGAACTGGCTGTATGTGGGAGAACTTGGGTGTAAGAGTCACTATGCGTGCTGCAGTGTTTTGTAGGCGTGTGTTTCCCATAAGCGTGTGTTTCCCATAAGCGTGTGTTTCCCATAAGCGTGTGTTTCCTTTCAGGCCCGTAAGTAGGTCACGGCACTTCGTGAGACCTTAGTACTTCCGGTGACAAACAACGTTTCATACCTTTTCGAATGGTCTCATGGTTGTCAGTTGACAGTAAGGAACAGATAATTCTTGCAGGAATGAAAAAATTCCTAACTACCTATCCCGAAATTAGTCTACTACGATTGTCAACAGCTGTGACAGCCAAACTTGGCTGTACACTTAGTCCGGTCTAGTAAAGTCATATTTGGCGGTTGCGCAATTTTAAACCAGAACTGGTTCTTGAATATACGTTTCTCAGTGGAAATCTGGTACCGGAAGTAAGCTTGACCCCGCATATCGCAAGCTGGCGCGCGCAGAGGGAGCCGGGAAACAGCTTTGTATCAGAAGTAGTGTCTCGCGAGACTTACAGGCCATATTGTAGGGTGCCCCTGAAGATCAGGGTTAGCATTGATCTTCAGTAACCTATGCTTGTCGTAAGAGGCGACTAACGGGATCGGGTAGTCAGGCTCGCTGACTTGGTTGACACATGTCACCGTGTCCCAATTGCGCAGGTCGATGCTCAAGCTCTTGATCACTGGGTTGTCTGGTCAAGACTCGATTATTTACAGACCACCGCACTATAGCTGGAATATTGCTGAGTGTGGCTTTAAACCACAAACAAACCAATCATATAAGCCTGGGTATTTCCTATTGCATCAATGAGCTGCATAAATCTGTTACGGTAAATCGACATCGGACGTTTGGTAATATCAAAAACCCCGACAAACTAATTGTGTCTGATATCGCCGAGAAACTATGTGTTCCTTCGTATGCCTCTGGAGACCTTTTGAGTTTGAACATGTGTGGCTAGTCAAGTACACACCTCTGGGACTGTCTAGAAGAAACGCTTTATATGGGGAAGCGCATCCCTCTCTGTTCACATCAAGACAAGTGGTTGTGTGAAGATAATGTTTCTCAGGATATGGGCCCCGTTTCACAAAGATATCGTAGCCCTAAGTCTATGTTGCAGTATAGGAGTTATGACAGTCGTAGTGCTATCATTGCTTTGTGAAACGGGGCCCAGGCCTAGCTTGGAAGCTTGGCCCCAGTTGCAAGGTGAACAGTAGTATCCCTGACTTTGGTGTTATTACCAGATGGACCCGTGAAGATCCGGGTTAGAATATTGATCTTCAGTAACCTATGCTTGTCGTAAGAGGCGACTAACGGGATCGGGTGGTCAGGCTCGCTGACTTGGTTGACACATGTCATCGTATCCCAATTGCGTAGATTGATGCTCATGCTGTTGATCACTGGGTTCTCTGGTCCAGACTCGATTATTTACAAACCGCCGCCATAAAGCTGGAATATTGCTGAGTGCGGCGTAAAAGTAAACTCACTCACTCAGTATTACCGCCTGTAGTGTGACGCTGCCGATGTAATTGTAGTGTTGCACTTGTGTCTAGTGCCGTTGTAATAACGTGGCAGTAGTTTGTACTTGTTGTAAACCTAGATCGCTTTTCTTGTATAACTGTAGGTCGATACATGACACTTTCAATGTAAGTTCCAGTAAAACCAAAACCGAATAGTGACACGAGATTTATAAAAAAGGAAATAAATGCAAATTTTATTCATGAAAAACAGTGGATAAATTAATAATGTAAGTATGACGTAGTTGTAGGTTGACGCAAGTTTGGGCATGACGGTAGTGTGCGCCACTCCTACAAGGCTGGGAAGGACTCGCAGTCAAGGTGCATCTCCACCTGTAGAATGAAAAACACATGACTTACTATCACTTACCATTGTATCTCTTATCTGTCATAGTATCTCTATTGTTCATCATTGTATGACTGTTGTCCGTCCCATTGCTCATCATTGAATAACTATTGTCCGTCCAATTGTCCATCACAGTATCCCTAATGCCCATCACAGTATCTCTATTGTCCATCACAGTATCCCTATTGTCCATCACAGTATCCCTATTGTCCATCACAGTATCCCAATTGTCCATAACAGTATCCCTATTGTCCATCACAATATCCCTATTGTCCATAACAGTATCCCTATTGTCCATCGCAATATCCCTATTGTCCATAACAGTATCCCTATTGTCCATCACAGTATCCCTATTGTCCATCACAGTATCCCAATTGTCCATAACAGTATCCCTATTGTCCATCACAATATCCCTATTGTCCATAACAGTATCCCTATTGTCCATCACAGTATCCCAATTGTTCATAACAGTATCCCTATTGTCCATCACAGTATCCCTATTGTCCATCACAGTATCCCTATTGTCCATCACAGTATCCCAATTGCCCATAACAGTATCCCTATTGTCCATCGCAATATCCCTATTGTCCATAACAGTATCCCTATTGTCCATAACAGTATCCCTATTGTCCATCACAGTATCCCAATTGTTCATAACAGTATTCCTATTGTCCATCACAGTATCCCTATTGTCCATAACAGTATCCCTATTGTCCATCACAGTATCCCTATTGTCCATCACAGTATCCCTATTGTCCATCACAGTATCCCTATTGTCCATCACAGTATCCCAATTGTCCATCACAGTATCCCTATTGTCCATAACAGTATCCCTGTTATTCATTATAATATCGCTATTGTTCAGTATCCTAGTACCCCTATCACTGTATCCTTAAGGTTGGGCTATTGTTCATAATTGTATCTCTATAGTTCATCAGTGACACCAATTGTTCATCAAAGTATGCATATTGTTCATCATCTCTAGATTCCATCGGCGTGTCCTTAATATCAATCTACCGCCTCCGTGGTGTAGTGGTTAGAGCGTCCGCCCGGAGAGCGGAAGGTCGCGGGTTCGATCCCCGACCGCGTCATACCAAAAGACGTTAAAATATGGTACTTGTTGGTCCCTGTCTGGCGCTCGGCATTAATGGGCACAACAAGGACTGGTCGGCTGGGAGTCAGTATAATGTGTCTGAGTGGGGTATTCATGCTTCACTGCGGCATGGTATCTCAGTGGGCTAGCACTATAAAACCATCTTCAGTTTGGGCTAGTACAAGCAGTCGCACATACACATACACACGCATGCACGTCGTCATATGAGCGAAATATTCTCAAGCACGACGTTAAACCCAATTTCACCTCACCTCACCTTAATATCAATCATATTAATTAACGTGTTCAATATTGTACAGTAGTGTCCATCATATTGTGCCTGGAGTCCATCATGCTATCATTATTGTTCATCAGTGCATTTAAAGATTTCATCACTCATAACCCTCTCTACAACGTATCACTCTTAAGCCCTCTCTATAACATATCACTCTTAAGCCCTCTCTACAACGTATCACTCTTAAGCCCTCTCTATAACATATCACTCATAACCCTCTCTATAATATATCACTCTTAAGCCCTCTCTATAACGTATCACTCTTAAGCCCTCTCTACAACGTATCACTCTTAAGCCCTCCCTATAACATATCACTCATAACCCTCTCTATAATATATCACTCTTAAGCCCTCTCTATAACGTATCACTCTTAAGCCCTTTTTATAATATATCACTCTTAAGCCCTTTTTATAATATATCACTCTTAAGCCCTCTCTATAACGTATCACTCTTAAGCCCTCTCTATGACGTATCACTCTTAAGCCCTTTTTATAACAGATCACTCTTAAGCCCTCTCTATAACGTATCACTCATAAGCCCTTTTTATAACATATCACTCTTAAGCCCTCTCTATAACGTATCACTCATACCCTTTCTATAACATATCACTCTTAAGCCCTCTCTATAACGTATCACTCATAACCCTCTCTATAACGTATCACTCATAACCCTCTCTATAACGTATCACTCATAACCCTCTCTATAACATATCACTCTTAAGCCCTTTCTATAATATATCACTCTTAAGCCCTCTCTATGTATCACTCATACCCTCTCTATAACATATCACCCTTAAGCCCTTTCTATAACATATCACTCTTAAGCCCTCTCTATAACATATCACTCTTAAGCCCTTTCTATAACATATCACTCATAACCTTCTCTATAACATATCACTCTTAAGCCCTCTCTATAACATATCACTCATAACCTCTCTATAACATATCACTCTTAAGCCCTCTCTATAACATATCACTCTTAAGCCCTCTCTATAACATATCACTCTTAAGCCCTCTCTATAACGTATCACTCATAACCCTCTCTATAATATATCACTCTTAAGCCCTTTCTTATAATATATCACTCTTAAGCCCTCTCTCTATAACATATATCACTCTTAAGCCCTTCTATAACATATCACTCTTAAGCCCTCTCTATAACATATCACTCTTAAACTTAAGCCTCTCTATAACGTATCACTCATAACCCTCTCTATAACGTATCACTCATAACCCTCTCTATAACGTATCACTCATAACCCTCTCTATAACATATCACTCTTAAGCCCTTTCTATAATATATCACTCTTAAGCCCTCTCTATGTATCACTCATACCCTCTCTATAACATATCACCCTTAAGCCCTATCTATGTATCACTCATACCCTCTCTATAACATATCACCCTTAAGCCCTTTCTATTACATATCACTCTTAAGCCCTCTCTATAACATATCACTCTTAAGCCCTCTCTGTAAGGCATCACTCTTAAGCCCTCTCTATAACATATCACTCTTAAGCCCTCTCTATAACGTATCACTCATAACCCTCTCTATAACGCATCACTCTTAAGCCCTCTCTATAACGTATCACTCATAACCCTCTCTATAACGTATCACCCTTGAGCCCTCTCTTTAACGTATCACTCTGTTTTGTCAGACAAATCAGTCAAACAATTACTTACCCTCTCTACAGTTCCCTTGAACAATCTCTGAACGTTATCTCCCTTGCCGACCTTGAGACCGCAACTTCGTGTTCCAATGGCTGGAATAGAGGACATGATATGTCAGCAAGAGGAGCACAAGTAAACATGTGAGCTGAAACATTGAGTACATGGCAATACAATGAGGTGGTTCATACAGCATAGTGTTTGTTGTGAGTAGAAAATGATATATATTTGATTTAGCTTGGTAATATTAACCTTGTCAAGGTTTGTAACTCATTGAAACATCAGTGTAGCATATTGGCTAGGCACAGGCTGCTCTGGCAGTAGACCCCGAAACAGGGCCTCGCGATGCAACTGATATAAGAAGAATTAGTTAAGAGTGTACATACGTGAATTCCCTGTCGCACTTGCAGTGGCCTCTCCCTGGTCGATACTAATGCCGTTGATGTTGAGGTTGGCTGTGAGGACGTTGTTGTCGTAGAGAAAGGTCACAGTTTTCTTGTCATTGGGGCCATACTGCAACAAGGGCATCTTGAGTTGTCACAACAAACTGAGATGGCATTTAGCAATAAGACGTTTAGTAAGACTGGTTACAAAGATATAACTGACAACTGATTAGACACAGACATAGACAAGTACACAGTCACAGACACAGGAAAAGACAGACACAGTCACAGACACAGGCAAAGACAGACACAGATACAGACACAGGCACAGACACAAACACAGACACTTTCGGCCAGCATGCAAGAGCATTCACAGCTTTAATCATTTCATCGTGCCTCTTTAAGGTGTCATTGTCGACGATTAGATACCGGTATGTGTGTGATTGTGTGCGTGCGTTTGTGTGTGCATGTACACGTGTTGTTTTCGTTTTTTAACCTCGCACTGGGTAATATTCAAACCATAATACCTTTGTAGGTGATCGAGTTTGGACCAGTTAATCCAGTGATTGGTATTGTGAGTACGATTACAAGCCATAAGCATGTCGATGATCCTAAACCTAAGTCGCACATCAAGTATGGCGTGTTAGGAAGTGCATTTCTCAAACCGAGAAAAGATCAGAACATATCATACTGTTTGAGGGTTGTAGTTAAGCTGGACTGAGACGGGGACATCGTCGTTGTAGTCGTACTGTGTGCCGCTGTCGGTGACGAGCCTAACTGTCACAAGACCCTGGTTGGGTGTAGTGGTGACGGAAATTGAAGCATCTTCATTAGAATCAACCGCATTATCACACGGGGCGTTGCTTAGGAGAACTCTGGGTTGGCTCAGAGGCTGGCCGTTGTCTGTCCCGTCCTGGTACACGACGCGTGCCCACAAACCGTTCTTAGTTGCCTCCCCTGTTCCAGCCGTGCGCGGGATAGACAGGTACGACCGAACGCCGTCGTAGACGCCCCCGACGGTACCGCTTTTAGTGACGTTGTTGTTCTTGATGTTCCAGGGCCATGGTTCTTCATCGTCGAAATAGGGATTAGTGCCATCATAGTTGGCCATAGTTGTGAGGAAATTGTCCTTACACTGCACTGGAAATATAAACATTAAACATTTGATACTCTGTACATTCCATCCATCAAGTATACATATATCTACCCATCAACTCCGCTTCCATCCCTACATTTCCCCATCCGCCCCGTATACATATATACGCCATGAGCATACACTAGTGTGTGGAAACGGCGCCATACAAGTGGACATTATTATTATTATTATTATTATTATTATTATTATTATTATTATTATTATTATTATATATCTAGTCAGCATCCGTCAAACCGAGCGTTAATCCATCTATCTGTCTATATCTGACCAGGATAATCTACAGCTACATCTATCCCTGACACAGCTCCTTCACCCCGAGCGTTAATCCATCTATCTGTCTATATCTGACCAGGATAATCTACAGCTACATCTATCCCTGACACAGCTCCTTCACCCCGAGCGTTAATCCATCTATCTGTCTATATCTGACCAGGATAATCTACAGCTACATCTATCCCTGACACAGCTCCTTCGCCCCAAGCGTTAATCCAATTATCTGTCTATATCTGACCAGGATAATCTACAACTACATCTATCCCTGACACAGCTCCTTCACCCCGAGCGTTAATCCATTTATCTGTCTATATCTGACCAGGATAATCTACAGCTACATCTATCCCTGACACAGCTCCTTCACCCCAAGCGTTAATCCATTTATCTGTCTATGGCCAACTTACGGGCATTATTGTTAATCCTAGCACTAGGGCAGACAACCGTTGAAGGCAATTTAATGGAACAAGCGCAGTCTGCCACGGAGAAACCTTGACCCTTGGGACAGTCCTGGGTAGCGAATGTAACACCGTTCACCACTTGCCTGTACTGACAGTCACCAACAGCTTCAATGTTGCAGTCTGAAACACAAGAGGGGCCATGTTGCCAGATTTCTTTCCAATGTTAACATCATAACAATTGTGCTTTGTGTAATCAGGGTTATGACTAGCCTGAACACAACACGGCATCAGATGTGAGTTAATAAACAAATGCAGTGAAGGAGTCGACATCTTGAAATAATATACTGAGAGAAACAAAAAAGGAACACAGGAAAATTGAAGTGTTCCACTAACATCTTCCAGTTTTTATCACCAGCTTTGAATAGCGCGGTGGGAGGAAATCTGAGAATAAACAAAGGAACACTGCCATGAAGTGGTGATCCCTTATTTGTTTCCTTCAGTATAATTACACGGACTGAGTAATACACCGAGTTTAGTTTTCCTCATGTTCCGAGATTCGCACGTACTTTACATTGATGAAATTGTTGTTTTGTTGTTTGTCGGAGCTGTGTTCGGGTATATCACTAGTGTTTGGAAACTTACGTTTGCAGCTTTGTTTTCTGTCATTTGATAACTTTATTAATTTTATGATCAAAGCAAATTTGAAATGTATGTTTTCTTGTAACCAGCAGTTCAGTAAAATGATAAAAGACGTACTTGGGTTTTTGCTTGGTTCCTGGCAGTTCTGGTCGACACAGTCGGTCCGTGGAGCGCAGTCGTTGAATGTGTCGTTGCTGACGAAGCCATTGCCCCCAGTACAGCACTGAGACGCCAACTCTTCGCCGTTACACTGGAAGTACGTCTTGCAGTATGACGCGTGGGGGTGTTTGACGGTTCTGTCACACCCGAAGTCGCTGATACACAAACTGGTGGCCGAGTCAAAGCGCTGCCCCTGAGGACAGCACCTAGGCTCCAGAGTGGACGCCCCTATGGTACCTCCACACTGCCAGTAGGAGGCGCAGCTGTCCCGGTATTGGTAGCGGCCGCTGGTACTCGCACACCACTCTAGAGAGGAGAAACCAATATTGTAAGATATCCCCTTAAAAGTTGGCGAGATATTGCGTTGTCTTTGATTATTATTTTTTTATTTTTTTTGGGGGGTCACCCTTACACACACACACACACACACCGCCCACACACCGCCTGGCCTTAAAATATGAACGGTCTCTTAAAATTTTTTATCACAGGTGATCACAGTTTACTGACACAAGCCCACGTGTCTTTGCGAGGATTAAAGATTAAAAAAATATTATTTTTGAGATGACCCCCGACTCGAAAGGCTTCATTTCGAGTCGGGAGGTCATCTCAGATGTTATGTATTTCTTAAAAATCTTTAATCCTCGCAAAGACACGAGGGCCTGTGTTTCCTGAGACATGCCAGCTCTGTATGGGATATTTCAAACCTAGAAATGTACAGTAGCTCTTATTGATGTTCCCCAATAAGTCAGTCTGTTGGGCGAGTCAGGTTTATTACGCCGAGTAGATTTTAGGCACTGCGAACCCAATGAATGAGAAAATATCCCTGAAACGCTGTATTTGGCGAAAGGGAGTTTGCTGGCCATGACACTACTCCGTGTCGAGGATATTGGTTATATTACGAGCGCTTCCCGCAGTATGGATTCCACCCTCGGCTATTATGACGTCATCGGTACTACTCACGGCATCCGGTCTTGACGCTTCTGTCGTTGATGACGGTGTTGGCATGCTGACACGTGGCGAGGGTGCGGTCGTACAGGGTGCCGTGGGGGCAGAAGAACTCGGCGGTCAAGATCTGGTTGCCCCGGATGTAACACTGGACGTATTTGTCACAGCGGTCTGGGTGGGGGATGAGGGCGGAACTCTCCTCGATGATACAGTCGGAACACACTGCAACATCATTGCAAATAGAGAATCTCACCCGAGTCTCTTTGGATATGAAAAATATCATATCAAGTTGATAAAGTTACAAATATCCGAGGCATGTTGATATATTTGATATCAGTAGACACGAGGGTGAGATTCTATTTATCATCAAAAATCACTCTTCATTAGTTTCAATGAAAAATGTACATCTCTGAACATGGTACTGCCATTAGACTTACAGTGCAGCGATGTCATAGCAGTGTGACGTCATCAGTTTTTTGACGTCATAGCATTGTGAGTCATGTAATTGATGACGTCAGGGCATTGTATAAAAATCTACTGTCAGAACGATATCTCATAGGAAGTATCGTTTGATCTCACACAAGCAATATCTCCTGTAGAACACAGTTTTGGATGATAAACATTCTTGCTTCTTGCCACTTCATAACAGTGTACAGTATAGTTATTAGATCGCTGAGACACATTACTACAGAACACAGTGGTATGTAATATCTACTGAATCACAAACATAAGAGAACACATGAAAGTACAAAGTTCCCTTCAATCTTTACCAAGTTTCTTCGCTAACTTTGTATTGCTCTGTGGGTGAAAATTAGGAAATAAAGAAAAGAACTGTGCAAGGAGGTGGAGTATTTGTTTAGTACATGTATTAAGTCGATGGAAAACGTGACTACAGAACAGGATAGTGTAGAACATTACAACCCCAGCAGATAGTTCAACCCATTGTAACATATTAGGACTGTATACTATTGTAAACATGGACCCCCGTTCACTATAGTTCGGCAGTAACAAGAACAGTAATCTGAGGTATACTCACATGAGTTGGGAATTACGAGGTCACACTCGAGAACCTGTCTCGTGATTTCTTGGCCTAGGTTGAATAGGTTTGTGACGGTGAAGACGACGTCTCTCCCAGTTACAGTGGTCAAATTGCCTCTCAGGTTGTCCAAATTGCTGTCAAGAACGGCCGACCCGACGGCGAACAGATACACGAATACATTCCTCTGTCTCAGTCGAGACACTATAATAGTGATTGGATCAATGTCTCTCCTCGATATCTGGGACGCATATATGACAGGCAACTGAACTCGCCTCCCGTTGACAGCAAGTCTTCCGGCGTTAGTTTCAATTTCTTGAAGTCCCCCAATAAGTGTCGCACCAGTTGAAGCACTTCGGGTAGGAAAGTTTGCATTGGTGAGCACTGATGCCGGCCTCAGCAGGCCATCGTACTGGAAGTTGTTCAGGCTGGAGAAGTAGACCACGCCTACGTTGATGTCAACTCCTGTGGCGCTGGCGTCCGCGAAGAAGCTAAGCATCTGATCAGTGTATGTCTGATACTCGGTCCCGATGTTTGAGCCGGTCCTAGCAGCTGCACGAGCGTTCTCGGACAGTTCAGATGCTACTATGACGTTATCGTTCCTGTAGGTGGAGGTGCCGCAATTCCTCACCACTGGAAATCAGCATAATTAATAATCAGCATAATTAATAATCAGCATAATTAATAATCAGGACATGCATTGTCATCCTAACTTTACTGTGTCCAGCTATTTTTCAATGGAAGTCGATTTCATCGTCTAAAATATATTTATTTCGCGACTTCAGTACTATTCTAAAAATATCGGATATCATAAATGTAACACACTATTGACTACATAAGCATAAATATTTTAAAACAATAATATTGCTTGTAAATTTCATCATTATTATTGATAGTGTTATGAGAATACTGATAAAGTTCTTACATATCTGAAGTGAGAGCGAAGGCAAGGTGACGCCCACAAGGACGGTGATGAAGAACTTGGCGTTCATCGTCTCTCCAGCTGGAAGACAGAGAAACACGTGTGAGTACTGTGAGTCATTAGCAAGTCACGAATATTTTACCCGTAGTGGCAAGGAAAGCGGTGCCATTATTTTCAATTCAGCGGGATTACAACGCGGCCAGATCATCACCTATTTTAATGTTCTCCTCCTTCAGGCGCTGTTAAGCGGACACGCCTGGTTGCAATGGGGAAACACACCTGTATCATCCCACCCGTATCCTTATACCTGTATCCGCATACCTGCATCCCCCACCCGTCCTCTTCTACCTGTATCCTCACACTCGTATCCCCCACCCGTATCTTTATACCCGTATCATCCACCCGTATCCTCACACCCGTATCCTTATACCTGTATCCTCCCACCCGTATCCTTATACCTGTATCCTTATATCTGTATCCTTCCACCTGTATCCTCATACCTGTATCCTTATACCTGTATCCTTATATCTGTATCCTTCCACCTGTATCATTCCACACGTATCCTCCCACCCGTCCCCTTCTACCTGTATCCTCACACTCGTTTCCCCCACCCGTATCCTTATACCCGTATCATCCACCCGTATCTTTATACCCGTATCCCCTGAGTCGTATCCTTATACCCGTATCACCCACCCGTATCCTTATACCTGTATCCTCCCACCCGTATCCTTATACCTGTATCCTTATATCTGTATCCTTCCACCTGTATCCTCCCACCCGTATCCTTATACCTGTATCCTCCCACCCGTATCCTTATATCTGTATCCTTCCACCTGTATCCTCACACCCGTATCCTTATACCCCTATACTTATACCCGTATCTTTATACTTGTATCCTCACAGCCGTATCCCCCCATCCGTATCCTTATACCTGTATCCTTTTTCGTAACTGGCATTTAGAGGGTTCCTGTTTTTGTAAGCCCATGACAGCCCAATCTAAGCGAATGTTTGTTGTTTCGCACTATGAGCGCGGTAAACACGTAATCATTACTACTACACAGGATCCAACCCCTGTCCTGAAATGTAGCTGTAAAATACATATAGAAGAAGAAGTCAATGTCGAGTCTGTCGCTACTGACAGCAGCTGCTGAAGATGTCCTCCCATAGATACCGTGTTAGTCAGCATACCTATGCTATATAGAACCTGAGAGCGATGACGTCACACGTTGTGGAAGCTAATTATCATCGTTGCTTTGATTACAAAGTTAGACAAGTTTTGCAATCAGTAAGTAAACTGTAGGCAATTACTTACGAAGAGCTCGGAGTTTCTGTATACGTTCTTCCCTCTGCAGTAGGTGATGGTTGTACAGACACTTGAGTACCAGTAGTTACTTGTGCCTGCCTTTCTTCTTGCGTTGAAATGGCCGCCTGTCCGCGAGCCTTCGGTATATATAGGCTATTCTCGCTATAGGTGTAGTTTGTTAGCACACCCAGTGTTGTTAACGATGGCGGTGATGACGTAGCCAGTTGAGATGTCGTACATACAGTCACTCTTTCCTCCTCGCCTCGCTTTCTTTGCTGTGTCAATATTGATACGGTTTCTATGGGTTTCTCCAAGCCTTGATCAGTTGCCTTGTCAGCCTGCATAGATCTATGCTACACTCACCAATGTAACCCGGTAATATTTCTCTGTGCCAATGCCCATATAAGGACTTAAGGGTGGCAAAGAATTTTCCTATGTTAATATGAAAACATTACTGTCAATAAACGGCAGTCCATTAATCTTAGGATCGTATTTCACTATTGGATGGGGGCGAATTCAACCAGTCATGAGGGTATTGCATCTGGTTTAAATACCTTTATCCACCCACACCAGTTCTAGATGGAGGGCCCTCTTTTTTCACACTTCAATACTGTGTGGAGCATCAATTTTGTATAATACCCAAACACACACTTCAGTGTTGCGTAGAGCATCCATGTGGTACAATAGCCTACCACAAACTTCAGTACTGCGTAGAACATCCATGTGGTACAAGACACTACCACACACTTCAATACGGTGTGGAGCATCCATGTGGTACAATACCCTACCTCACACTTCAGTACTGTGTGGAGCATCCATGTGGTACAATACCCTACCACACACTTCAGTACTGCGTGGAGCATCCATGGGGTACAATACCCTACCACACACTTCAGTACTGTGTGGAGCATCCATGTGGTACAATACTGTGTGGAGCATCCATGTGGTACAATATCCCTAGCACCACACACTTCAGTACTGTGTGGAGCATCCATGTGGTACAATACCCTACCACACACTTCAGTACTGTGTGGAGCATCCATGGGGTACAATACCCTACCACACACTTCAAGTACTGTGTGGAGCATCCATGTGGTACAATACCCTACCACACACTTCAGTACTGTGTGGAGCATCCATGTGGTACAATACCCTACCACACACTTCAGTACTGTGTGGAGCATCCATGTGGTACAATACCCTACCACACACTTCAGTACTGTGTGGAGCATCCATGTGGTACAATACCCTACCACACACTTCAGTACTGTGTGGAGCATCCATGTGGTACAATACCCTACCACACACTTCAGTACTGTGTGGAGCATCCATGTGGTACAATACCCTACCACACACTTCAGTACTGTGTGGAGCATCCATGTGGTACAATACCCTACCACACACTTCAGTACTGTGTGGAGCATCCATGGGGTACAATACCCTACCACACACTTCAGTACTGTGTGGAGCATCCATGTGGTACAATACCCTACCACACACTTCAGTACTGTGTGGAGCATCCATGTGGTACAATACCCTACCACACACTTCAGTACTGTGTGGAGCATCCATGGGGTACAATACCCTACCACACACTTCAGTACTGTGTGGAGCATCCATGTGGTACAATACCCTACCACACACTTCAGTACTGTGTGGAGCATCCATGGTACAATACCCTACCACACACTTCAGTACTGTGTGGAGCATCCATGTGGTACAATACCCTACCACACACTTCAGTACTGTGTGGAGCATCCATGGGGTACAATACCCTACACACACACTTCAGTACTGTGTGGAGCATCCATGTGGTACAATACCCTACCACACACTTCAGTACTGTGTGGAGCATCCATGTGGTACAATACCCTACCACACACTTCAGTACTGTGTGGAGCATCCATGTGGGTACAATACCCTACCACACACTTCAGTACTGTGTGGAGCATCCATGGGTACAATACCCTACCCACCACACACTTCAGTACTGTGTGGAGCATCCATGTGGAGCATCCATGTGGTACAAATACCCTACCACACACCCTTCAGTACTGTGTGGAGCATCCATGGGGTACAATACCTACCACACACTTCCTCAGTACTGTGTGGAGCATCCATGGTACAATACCCTACCACACACTTCAGTACTGTGTGGAGCATCCATGGGGTACAATACCCTACCACACACTTCAGTACTGTGTGGAGCATCCATGGGGTACAATACATCCTGAGGTACCTACACACTTCAGTACTGTGTGGAGCATCCATGTGGTACAATACCCTACCACACACTTAGAGCATCCAAGTACTGTGTGGAGCATCCATGTGGTACAATGCAATACCCCTACCACACACTTCAGTACTGTGTGGAGCATCCATGAGGTACAATACCCTACACACACACTTCAGTACTGTGTGGAGCATCCATGGGGTACAATACCCTACCACACACTTCAGTACTGTGTGGCATCCATGTGGTACAATACAATACCCTACCACACACTTCAGTACTGTGTGGAGCATCCATGAGGTACAATACCCTACCACACACTTCAGTACTGTGTGGAGCATCCATGGGGTACAATACCCTACCACACACTTCAGTACTGTGTGGAGCATCCATGTGGTACAATACCCTACCACACACTTCAGTACTGTGTGGAGCATCCATGGTACAATACCCTACACACACACTTCAGTACTGTGTGGAGCATCCATGTGGTACAATACCCTACCACACACTTCAGTACTGTGTGGAGCATCCATGTGGTACCTCAGTACTGTGTGGAGCAATGTGGTACACCCTACCACACACTTCAGTACTGTGTGTGGAGCATCCATGGTACAATACCCTACCACACACTTCAGTACTGTGTGGAGCATCCATGGTACAATACCCTACCACACACTTCAGTACTGTGTGGAGCATCCATGGGGTACAATACCCTACCACACACTTCAGTACTGTGTGGAGCATTCCATGTACAATACCCTACCACACACTTCAGTACTGTGTGGAGCATCCATGGGGTACAATACCCTACCACACACTTCAGTACTGTGTGGAGCATCCATGGGGTACAATACCCTACCACACACACTTCAGTACTGTGTGGAGCATCCATGTGGTACAATACCCTACCACACACTTCAGTACTGTGTGGAGCATCCATGTGGTACAATACCCTACCACACACTTCAGTACTGTGTGGAGCATCCATGGGGTATTACAATACCCTACCACACTTCAGTACTGTGTGGAGCATCCATGGGGTACAATACCCTACCACACACTTCAGTACTGTGGTGGAGCATCCATGGGGTACAATACCCTACCACACACTTCAGTACTGTGTGGAGCATCCATGGGGTACAATACCCTACCACACACTTCAGTACGGTGTTGAGCTGTGTGGAGCATCCATGGTGTACAATGCCCAACCACACACTTCAGTACTGTGTGGAGCATCCATGGGGTGGAGCCACACATTCCATGTGGTATCCAATACCCTACCACACACTTCAGTACTGTGTTGGAGCATCCATGGGGTACAATACCCTACCACACACTTCAGTACGGTGTGGAGCATCCATGAGGTACACACCCACCCTACCACACACTTCAGTACTGTGTGGAGCATCCATGTGGTACAATACCCTACCACACACTTCAGTACTGTGTGGAGCATCCATGGGGTACAATACCCTACCACACACTTCAGTACTGTGTGGAGCATCCATGTGGTACAATACCCTACCACACACTTCAGTACTGTGTGGAGCATCCATGGGGTATTAACACCCTACCACACACTTCAGTACTGTGTGGAGCATCCATGAGGGTACAATACCCTACCACACACTTCAGTACTGTGTGGAGCATCCATGGGGTACAATACCCTACCACACACTTCAGTACTGTGTGGAGCATCCATGTGGTACAATACCCTACCACACACTTCAGTACTGTGTGGAGCATCCATGGGGTACAATACCCTACCACACACTTCAGTACTGTGTGGAGCATCCATGTGGTACAATACCCTACCACACACTTCAGTACTGTGTGGAGCATCCATGGGGTACAATACCCTACCACACACACTTCAGTACTGTGTGGAGCATCCATGGGGTACAATACCCTACCACACACTTCAGTACTGTGTGGAGCATCCATGTGGTACAATACCCTACCCACACACTTCAGTACTGTGAGGAGGATCCATGTGTTACAATACCCTACCACACACTTCAGTACTGTGTGGAGCATCCATGAGTACAATACCCTACACACACTTCAGTACTGTGTGGAGCATCCATGTGGTACAATGCCCTACCACACACCTTCAGTACTGTGTGTGGAGCATCCATGTTGTACAATACCCTACCACACACTTCAGTACTGTGTGGAGCATCCATGTTGTACAATACCCAACCACACACTCTTCAGTAGTGGGCATCCATGTGTACAATACCCATCCATGTGGTACATCCATGTGGTACAATACCCTACCACACACTTCAGTACTGTGTGGAGCATCCATGTGGTACAATACCCTACCACACACTTCTCAGTACTGTGTGTGGAGCATCCATGTGGTATTACATCAATACCCAACCACACACTTCAGTACTGTGTGGAGCATCCATGTGGTACAATACCCTACCACACAGTACATTGTGTGGAGCATCCATGGTACAATACCACTTCTTCAACTGTGTGGGAGCATCCACTGGTACAATACCCTACCACACACTTGTACTGTGTGGAGCATCCATGGGTACAATACCCTACCACACACTTCAGTACTGTGTGGAGCATCCATGGGGTACATACCCTATCACACACCTTCTGTACTGTGTGGAGCATCCATGTGGTACAATACCCTACCACACACTTCTTGGGTACTGTGGAGCATCCATTTCACTCCTACCCCTCCTATCACACATCCTACCACCACACTTCAGTACTGTGTGGAGCATCCATGGGGTACAATACCACTACCACACACTTCAGTACGGTGTGGAGCATCCATGGGGTACAATACCCTACCACCACACCTCTCAGTACTGTGTGGAGCATCCACCATATGGTACAATACCCTACACACACACTTCTCAGTACTGTGTGGAGCATCCATGGGGTACAATACCCTACCACACACTTCAGTACTGTGTGTCCATCCATGAGTACCACCTCCTATGCTTCCTGTACCACTCCTATCATACAAACCACCACTACACCCCTCACACAGTTACCACTTCCATCCATGGTTGGCACACAGTCCAAAGTACCACACACTCTTCAGTACTGTGTTGACCATCCATGGGTACAATACCTACACCACTTCACCCCACTCCTGCCACCTCAATACATGTGGAGCATCAATACCCCACTTCAGTACCCTCCTGTCATCACAGACTGTGGGAGCATCCATGGGCCTCCATGTGGTACAATACCCCACTACTACACTCACAGCACCACTTCCTAGTCATTGTACACCACCACCCCACCCTCCATCCACCCACTGGTATCACACCAGGGTACCACACATTTCACTCCTACTGTGTGGAGAACGACTCACCATCCCACTGGTACAATACTCCTACCCTCCTATCCTACCACACACTATCACAGTCACCACTGACCTCACCCCACCCTACCACTCCTACCCCTCCTATCACACATAGTCACCCCTGTACCCCTCCTATCAACAATAGCACCACTCCTACTCACTGGTGTTCCTATCACAGCACCACCCATCTCTACCCTCCTATCTCCTACACACACAGCACCACCACTCCACCTCTATCCCTCCTATCACACAGCACCACTTATCACACATTAGCACCAACACAACCCTTCCCTACCCATCCCAACCCCCACAATCATTCTTCTGGTATCTAGACATCTTCAGTCAATGTTTGCATTTCAATTGACAGCAACTCTTGCTTTCACAGTAACCACATCTTTATACTTTGAATATTTTACACTTGGACTCTGTCTGGAAGTGCGTCTATTATAGATGTCAGGCATTTATATAACAGGGCACGGGGGTGACTTGCACCACGCTCTGTTGACACACCCTCCAGGACCATCATGATACCTAGGCAAATATTAGTATATAATGCCTCCACCTTTCGTCTATAGTGTGTTAAAGACTAATATTGATATATTGATGTGCAAACTTAATGTCCGTTTATTGACGTTATATAAGACTTTAAGTAATGTGAGGTCTTTATATGAACAAAGATACAGGGAGAGTATCATGGATACTTTGAACTTAAAATGTGTTCACGCATAACCGATACTAATTTTGAAATCTCTGTGGTCTCTGTCTCAACCTATAAACATTTCTTTGACTGTCTCTGTCTCAACCTATAAACATTGTGACTGTCTCTGTCTCAACCAATAAACATTGTGACCGTCTCTGTCTCAACCTATAAACATTGTGACCGTCTCTGTCTCAACCTATAAACATTGTGACTGTCTCTGTCTCAACCTATAAACATTGTGACTGTCTCTGTCTCAACCAATAAACATTGTGACTGTCTCTGTCTCAACCTATAAACATTTTGACTCTCTCTGTCTCAACCTATAAACATTGTGACTGTCTCTGTCTCAACCAATAAACATTGTGACCGTCTCTGTCTCAACCTATAAACATTGTGACCGTCTCTGTCTCAACCTATAAACATTGTGACTGTCTCTGTCTCAACCTATAAACATTGTGACTGTCTCTGTCTCAACCAATAAACATTGTGACCGTCTCTGTCTCAACCTATAAACATTTTGACTGTCTCTGTCTCAACCTATAAACATTGTGACCGTCTCTGTCTCAACCTATAAACATTGTGACCGTCTCTGTCTCAACCTATAAACATTGTGACTGTCTCTGTCTCAACCTGTAAACATTGTGACTGTCTCTGTCTCAACCTATAAACATTGTGACTGTCTCTGTCTCAACCAATAAACATTGTGACCGTCTCTGTCTCAACCTATAAACATTGTGACTGTCTCTGTCTCAACTTATAAACATTGTGACCTCTTTGTCTCAACCTATAAACATTGTGACTGTCTCTGTCTAACATGATAATCACTATGATTTGATGGTCTTTGCCAAACCGGTAACGTTTGCTAGGCAGTACAGTGGCATTTAACTGAGAAGATAACTGCTGTGATGTTAAACAGTGTTCTAGGTCTGTCTAATTTATTTATTTAACTGATATCTGATAGATTTCTTGAATGTGTGCAAAGCAGAGAAGAGAAAACTGGTCAGTTACGAGACGTGTCCTTGACATCGAAGAATTATATTGTTATGTTAAAGAATATTGACCGGAACTTGGCAAAGTACACACCAGTATCAAACATATATGATCTGACATACTCAGCGTGGTGACAAATAGTGCTTCTTTAGCGGCATCAGTGTACAGTAACCATGGTTACCTTCCTTCAACCCGACAAGACAGCACCGGGTAAATACGGACTGGACAGCCTAGGGGAGTATTGCGCAGAAATCGTTACAGCTTCAGAAATGAGGAAAAACCGTTGTCCTTTGTTTCATATGTGTCACTGTGTCAGGGATGGGCGTAGCTGTTGATGGTTCCACAGGTTACTGTACACTGAAGATGTCTGACTGATCTGGTTGTTGTAGGTGGCGACTGGGGCTGTAGGCGACTGAGGTGGAGGAGGACTTGGGTGCAGAGGACTGAGGTGGAGGAGGACTGGGGCTGTAGGAGGACTGAGGTGGAGGAGGACTGGGGTTGTAGGAGGACTGAGGTGGAGGAGGACTGGGGCTGTAGGATGACTGAGGTGGAGGAGGACTGGGGCTGTAGCAGGACTTGAGGCGGAGGAGGACTGGGGCTGTAGGAGGACTAAGGTGGAATAGGACTGGGGTTGTAGGAGGACTGAGGTGGAGGAGGACTGGGGCTGTAGGAGGACTGAGGTGGAGGAGGACTGGGGCTGTAGGATGACTCAGGTGGAGGAGGACTGGGGTGCAGAGGACTGAGGCGGATGAGGACTGGGGTTGTAGGAGGACTGAGGTGGAGGAGGACTGGGGCTGTAGGATGACTGAGGTGGAGGAGGACTGGGGCTGTAGGATGACTGAGGTGGAGGAGGACTGGGGCTGTAGCAGGACTTGAGGCGGAGGAGGACTTGGGCTGTAGGAGGACTAAGGTGGAATAAGACTGGGGTTGTAGGAGGACTGAGGTGGAGGAGGACTGGGGCTGTAGGAGGACTGAGGTGGAGGAGGACTGGGGCTGTAGGAGGACTGAGGTGGAGGAGGACTGGGGTGTGTAGGAGGACTGAGGTGGAGGAGGACTGGGGGCTGTAGGATGAGGCGGTGGAGGGGGGACTAGGAGGACTGAAGGTGGAATAAGACTGGGGTTGTAGGAGGAGGAGGTGGGACTGGGATGGACTGGGGAGGAGGAGGAGGAGTGGAGGAGGACTGGGGCGGAGGAGGACTTGGGCTGTAGTTGGACTAGGAGGAATAGGACTGGGGTGAAGGAGGACTGAGGTGGAGGAGGAGGGGACTGGTAGCAGGACGGGGAGGTGGAGGAGGACTGGGGCTGGAGGAGGACTGGAAGGTGGGAGGAGGACTGGGGTTGTAGGAGGACTGAGTGGAGGAGGACCTGGAGGAGGGGTGGGGAGGAGGACTGGGGTTGTAGGAGGACTGAGGTGGAGAGGAGGGAGGACTGGGGCTGAGAGGAGACGGAAGGAGGACTGGAGGAGGACTGGGTATGGAGGAGGACTGAGGTGGAGGAGGACTGGGGCTGTAGGAGGACTAACTGGTGGAGGAGGACTGGGGCTGGAGGAGGACTGAGGTGGAGGAGGACTGGGGGCTGTAGGAGGAGGACTGGGGTGGAGGAGGACTGAGGAGGCTGAAGGAGGACTGGGCTGATGGAGGAGGACTGGGGTGGAGGAGGAGGACTGGGGCTGGAGGAGGACTGAGGCTGGAGGAGGACTGGGGTGGAGGAGGACTGGGGCTGTAGGAGGACTAAGAGGAGGAGGACTGGAAGGAGGGGGGCTGGAGGCTGGACTGGAGGGGTTACTGAGGAGGACTGAGGTGGAGGAGGACTGGGGCTGTAGGAGGACTGAGGAGGGAGGGAGGACTGGGGCTGTAGGAGGACTGGAGGACTGAGGTGGAGGAAGACAGGGCTGTAGGAGGACTGAGGTGGAGGAGGACTGGGGCTGGAGGAGGACTTGAGGAAGGGAGGAGGAGGAGGGGCTGTAGGAGGACTAAGGTGGAGGAAGACTGGGGTTGTAGGAGGACTGAGGTGGAGGAGGACTGGGGTTGTAGGAGGACTGAGGTGGAGGAGGACTGGGGCTGTAGGAGGACAGGAGGGGAGGAGGACTGGGGCTGGAGGAGGACCGGGGTGGAGGAGGACGGGGCTGGAGGAGGACTGGGGTGGAAGGAAGGAGGACTGGGACTGGGAGGAGGACTGGGGTGGAGGAGGACCTGGGGAGGGAAGGAGGACTGGGGAGGAGGAGGAGGACTGGGAGTGGAGGAAGGAGGACTGGGGTGAAGGAGGACTGGAGGAGGACGGGGACCGGGAGGAGGACCTGGGGCCATAGGAGGACGGAGGTGGAGGAGGACTGGGCCGTGGGAGGACTAGGAGGGAGGACTGAAGGCGGAGGAGGACTGGTGGTGTAGGAGCCGAGGAGGACTGGGGGAGGAGGAGGACAGGAGGACCGGCTGGAGGAGGACTGGGGCTGTAGGAGGACTGAGGTGGAGGAGGACTGGGGCTGTACCACAGGAGGACGGAGGTGGAGGAGGACTGGGGCTATAGGAGGACTGGAGGTGGAGGAGGACTGGGGGCTGGAAGGAGGACTGGAGTGAGTGGAGGAGGAGGACCGGGCTGGAGGAGGACTGGGGAGGAGGGTGGAGGAGGACCGGGGTGGAGGAGGACTGGAGTGGAGGAGGACTGGAGTGTAGGAGGAGGTGGAGGAGGACCGGGGGGAGGAGACTGGAGGTGGAGGAGGACCGAAGGAAGGAGGACCGGGAGGGTTGGAGGAGGACCGAGGAGGAGGACTGGGGCTGGAGGAGGACTGGGGTGGGAGGAGGACCGGGTGGAGGAGGACCGGGGACAGGAGGACCGGGGGAGGAGGACCGGGGGTGGGAGGAGGACCGGAGGTGGAGGAGGACCGGGCCAGGTGGAGGACTGGGGACCCTGGAGGACCAGGCGGATGAGGAGGAGGACGAGGGAGGAGGACCGGGACTGGAGGAGGACCTGGGAGGACCTGGGGGAGGAGGACCGGGGTGGAGGAGGACCGGGAGGATGGGAGGACTGGGGAGGAGGACCTGGAGGAGGGACTGGACCGGAGGAGGACCGAGGTGGAGGAGGAGGACCTGGAGGGGAAGGGGGGTGGAGGAGGACCGGGGGAGGAGGACCGAGGTGGAGGAGGACCGAGGAAGGAGGACCGAGGAGGAGGAGGACTGAAGGAGGACCGGGGAAGGTGGAGGACCGGGGGAGGAGGACTGGGGAGGAGGACCGGGGTGGAGGAGGACAGGGGACTGAGGAAGGATGGAGGAGGACTGGGGTGGAGGAGGACCGGGACCATGGAGGTGGAGGACTGGGAGCAGGATCCCGGAGGTGGAGGAGGACCGGGGAGGAGGAGGGTGGAAGGAGGACGCCGGGAGGAGGACCGGGGTGGAGGAGGACTGGAGGAGGAGGAGGACCGGGGAGGACTGAGGTGGAGGGACCGGAGGACTGGGGCTGGAGGAGGACAGGAGGTGGAGGAGGACTGGGGCTGGAAGGAGGACCCGGAGGTGGAGGAGGACTGGGGCTGACCAGGAGGACCGTGGAGACCCCGGAGGAGGACTGGGCTGGAGGAGGACCGGAGGAGGGGTGGAGGAGGACTGGGGCTGTGGAGGAGGACTGAGGTGGGAGGAGGACTGAGGGGGTGGAGGAGGACCGGAGGTGGAGGAGGACTGAGGGGAGGGACTGGGAGGAGGACTGGGGTGGAGGGAGGACTGGGGTGGAGGAGGACCGGGGTGGAGGAGGACTGGGGACCGGGGGAGGAGGACTGGGAGGAGGACTGGGGTGGAGGAGGGACCGGGGTGGAGGAGGAAGGAGGACGGAGGGGGGTGGAGGAGGAGGAGGAGGCAGGAGGACTGGGAGTGGAGGAGGACTGGGGTGGAGGAGGAGGACTGGAGGAGGTGGGACAGGAGGACTGGAGGTGGAGGAGGACTGGGACTGGGGAGGGGAGGAGGAGGAGGACTGGAGGAGGACTGGGGTGGAGGAGGACTGGGACTGTAGGAGGACTGAGGAGGAGGACTGGAGGACCTGTGGAGGAGGACCAAGGGTGGAGGAGGACCGGGGGGGGAGGAGGACTGGGGGTGGAGGAGGAGGAGGAGGTGGAGGAGGACCGGGGAAGGAGGACTGGAGGAGGACTGGGGACTGGGAGAGGAGGACTGGGGTGGTGGGAGGAGGACCAAAGGGAGGAGGACCGAAGGTGGGAGGAGGACTGGGGCTGTCGGGAGGACTGAGGTGGAGGAGGACTGGGGGCTGTGGGAGGAGGAGGACCCTGGTGGAGGAGGACTGAGGGACTGGAGGAGGAGGAGGAGGACTGGGGGACCAGGAGGACTGGTAAGGAGGGAGGTGGAGGAGGAGGACAGGAGGGAGGAGGAGGACTGGGGTGGAGGAGGTGGGGGATGGGGAAGTGGAGGACTGGGGCTGTAGGAGGACTGGGAGGAGGAGGAGGACCGGAGGACAGGGTTGGAGGAATGGAGGAGGACTGAGGTGGAGGAGGACTTGGGCTGTAGGAGGACTGAGGTGGAAGGAGGACTGGGGCTGTAGGGAGGACTGAGGTGGAGGAGGACAGGGCTGTAGGAGGACTGGAGGTGGAGGACTGGGGCTGGAGGAGGGAGGAGGACCGGAGCTGGAGGAGGACGGGGGCTGTAGGAGGACTAAGGTGGAAGGAGGACTGGGGTTGTAGGAGGACTGAGGTGGAGGAGGACTGGGGCTGGGGGGAGGACTGAGGTGGAGGACCGGGAGGAGGAGGGTGGGAGGAGAGGACTGGAGGGGGTGGTGGAAGGAGGACTGGGGCTGAGGGGACTGGGGGGTGAAAGGAGGACTGGGGTGGAGGAGGAGGACTGGGGTGGAGGAGGACTGGGACTGGAGGATGGAGGAGGGGGGTGGAGGAGGAGGAGGACGGAGGGTGAGGAGGAGGACTGGGGTTGGATGAAGGAGGACTGGGGGGTGAAGGAGGACTGGGACTGGGGTGGAGGAGGACTGGGGTGGGTGGAGGAGGACTAGAGGTGGAGGAGGACTGGGGGTGTAGGAGGACTGGAGGAGGACTGGGGTGGAGGAGGACTGGAAGGAGGACTGAGGGGTGGAGGAGGACTGGGGCTGAAGGAGGACTGGGGTGGAGGAGGACTGGGGCTGGAGGAGGACTGAGGTGGAGGAGAGGACCGGGACCTGTAGGAGGACTAAGGTGGGTGGAGGACTGGGGCTATAGGAGGAGGACTGAGGTGGAGGGAGGACTGGGGCCAGGAGAGGACTGAGGAGGTGGAGGACAGGGGGCTGGAGGAGTCTGCTGGGGACAGTGGAGGAGGACTGAGGAGAGGAGGAGGGGCTGTGGAGGAGGACTGGAGGCTGGAGGAGGACTGTGCCACAGGACGGGAGTAGGACTGACAGGGTGGAGGAGGGACTGGGGTAGTAGGGACACAGGAGGGGACTGGGAGGAGGAGGACTGGGGCTGAAGGAGGGACTGAGGAGGAGGAGGAGGAGGGACCAAGGGGACTGGAGGAGGACTGAGGTGGAGGAGGACTGGGGGCTGTAGGAGGACTGAGGTGGAGGAGGAGGACTGGGGCTGGTGGGAGGACTGGGGTGGAGGAGGACTGGGGCTGTAGGAGGACTGGGAGGAGGAGGAGGACTGGGACTGGAGGAGGACCAAGTGAGGACAGGGTGAAGGAGGACTGAGGGTGGGAGGAGGACTGGGGCTGGGAGGAGGACTGGGAGGAGGGAGGAGGACTGGGGGCTGTAGGAGGACTGAGGTGGAGGAGGACTGGGGCTGAGGAGGACTGAGGGAGGAGGACTGGGGCTGGAGGAGGACTGAGGTGGAGGAGGACAGGAGGTGGAGGAGGACTGGGGCTGGAGGAGGACTTGAGGAGGAGGAGGACTGGGGCTGTAGGAGGACTGGGAGGAGGAGGAGGGTGGGGGCTGTAGGAGGACTGGGTGGAGGAGGACTGGGGCTGTAGGAGGACTGAGGTGGAGGAGGACTGGGGCTGTAGGAGGACTGAGGTGGAGGAGGACTGGGGCTGTAGGAGGACTGAGGTGGAGGAGGACTGGGGCTGTAGGAGGACTGAGGTGGAGGAGGACTGGGGCTGTAGGAGGACTGAGGCGGAGGACTGGGACTGGGGGAGGACTGAGGACTGAGGACTGGAGGAGGACTGAGGTGGAGGAGGGACTGGGGCTGTAGGAGGACTGAGGTGGAGGAGGGACAGGAGCTGTGGAGGAGGACTGGGAGGTGGAGGAGGACTGGGGCTGTAGGAGGACTGGGGGGGGAGGGAGGGACTGGGGTGGAGGAGGACTGGGGTGGAGGAGGACTGGGGTGGAGGAGGACTGGGGTGAGGAGGGGACTGAGGTGGAGGAGGAGGAGGACTGAAGGAGGACTGGAGGTGGAGGAGGACTGCTGGTGGAGGAGGACTGGGGTGCAGGAGGACTGGAGGAGGACTGGGGCTGGAGGAGGACTGAGGTGGAGGAGGACTGGGGTGGAGGAGGACTGAGGAGGGAGGAGGACTGGGGTGAACTGGGTGGAGGAGGACTGGAGAGGAGGACTGGGGGTGGAGGAGGACTGGGGTGGAGGGAGGACTGGGGTGGAGAGGAGGACTGGGGTGAAGAGGAGGACTGAGGGTGGAGGAGGACTGGCAGGTGGAGGAGGACTTGGGCTGTAGGAGGACTGGAGGTGGAAGAGGACTTGGGCTGTAGGAGGACTGGGGTGGAGGAGGACTGGGGCTGGAGGAGGACTGGGGTGGAGGAGGACTGGGGCTGTAGGAGGACTGGGGTGTGGAGGACTGGGGCTGTGGGAGGACTGAGGTGGAGGAGGACTGGACTGAGGGAGGACTGGCGGAGGAGGACTGGGGGCTGAGGAGAGGACTGGGGAGGAGGACTGGGGCTGTAGGAGGACTGGGGCTGTAGGAGGATTTGGGGGCTGTAGGGGAATGGGGTGCAGGAGGACTGAGGTGGAGGAGGACTGGGGCTGTAGGAGGACTGAGGTGGAGGAGGACTGGGGTGCAGAGGACTGAGACGGAGGAGGACTGGGGGGAGGAGGACTGGGGACTGGGGGGCAGGAGGATGGACTGAGGTGGAGGAGGACTGGGGTGAGGAGGAGGACTGGGGAGGAGGACTGGGGGAGGAGGACTGGGGGTGGGAGGAGGACTGGGGTGGAGGAGGACTGGGACTGGGATGGAGGAGGACTGGGGTGGAGGAGGACTGGGGTGAAGGAGGACTGGGGTGGAGGAGGACTGGGGTAGAGGAGGACTGAGGCGGAGGAGGACTGAGGTGAAGGAGGACTGGGGTGCAGAGGACTGGGGTGGAGGATGACTGGGGTGAAGGAGGACTGGGGTGGAGGAGGACACATTTCATGCCTGACGTGTTAAGAGGGTGACAAGTCTTGTTAACGGGGTAACACATGACATTTTTCTGCTGAAGATTCTGCTGTGCAACTCGGACAATGTGTTATCGTGTTGGAAAGTCACTCCAGGACCGTTCTGTTGCAAAAACGGCAAAGCGTCCATTTGCAAAATATCGTCTCGAGAGTCGATACCTCAGCATTCAAGTTCCCCAGTGTCACAATCCCCAGATTGTAACGCCCCCACCTACAGAAGGAACCTGAAAAAAAGAAGAAAAAGGTGGGACACCCAAGTAGGAAGAAATAAACTTCATTAATTGAAGCCCACAATTGGTTATACCTACTTGAGTTGTCAGTCATGACGTGATGAGGTCATTTTACGACGATGTCGTATTGGCCACAGTCGGTTTACTCATGACTTTCTGCTGAAAACGGATGGGGATGGACCTCCCATGTGTGTCTCTTGCGATGAAGTGTTCACCATCAAGCATGTTCTGCTTGACTGTGTGGACTTTTCACCTGCAAGGGATTCACATTATGATGCGAGAAATCTGAAAGATCTGTTTTGCCGCGCGAGCGGGCATCTCATTGTTAGCTACCTGAGGGAAGTCGACCTGTATCATAAATTGTAGTTATGTAATGTGAATAATGGATTGCTTGCTTTTGAATTTGGTGCTATGATATTTTCTGTTTTTTAAATAATAATGTACTGAATTTATATATTTGAACATAAAACTCATTTGGATTTTGTATAAAAATGTTTATGAATGCAGACTTGATCTCATCACTATACGGCTGGAATAATGCCGATGTGACGTAAAGCCCAACTCATCTCAACTCTCAGTATAACAATGGCCATGGCGGCTGTAACGGTCACCTGTGTTCCAGTGCATATGTCCTGTGTTCCGTGTGACTTTTACGCGTCCACGTGTTCCCCAACGCCGGTGACATCGACGTCAAACTGTTTCTGTTTGTTTGTTGTTTAACGCTGCACTCAACAGCATGAGCGTCAATCTACGTAACTGGGATACGATGACACCAAGTCAGCGAGCCTGACCACCCGATCCAGTTTGTCGCTTTGGCTGCTGAAGACCAATTCTAACCCGGGTCTGAACTGTTCCTGAAGATACACCTCTGTTGCCAGGTATGGTACGGGCTGTAGGTGTTGCTGGATGGAACCTGTGTTTCGCGAGGTAGGAATCATGACGTCGGGCTCCCACAACGTGGACGGTCTATAGCTTGATTGTTTAGCTGAAAACGTCGCCTTAAGTGCCAAATGATCTTTCTAATGACGTTGAATTGTTTTTCAACGTAACGCTGCGAGGTACCACACACTGAAGCATGTCCATCGTTCTCCGTCTGTCATTTTGCTGGAGACGTAGCATTTCGAGCTTGTTCCAGAACGCTGAAAAGAGGTGGGTTTTTTCTGACTTCGGCATCTCTTTGGACTGCATTGAGTGGAAATGATATGCGTCCTGACGTATGACTTTGGCCATTTTTGTCGACTTTGTCATGATTGATGCAAATTTCGTGCAATTCAAACAATAACTTCTTGGTTGAGTTTCTTCAACCATTTTAACACTGATTCAAATTTCACTCACAAGATAAGGTAACATCTGGTCCGACTCGAGTGTCTGCTCCAGGGAACAGATAGGAACGTTCACTGCTGAACACATGGACATGGACAACTCCACTTGCCGAAAACATTTCATGTTGAGAGAATATCTACCCGTCTACCGTGGTGTTATACTATTGGTGGTAGTGTCTACCCGTCTACCGTGGTGTTGTACTATTGGTGGTAGTGTCTACCCGTCTACCGTGGTGTACTATTGGTGGTGGTGTCTACCCATCTACCGTGGTGTACTATTGGTGGTAGTGTCTAACCGTCTACTATGGTGTACTATTTGTGGTAGTGTCTACCCGTCTACCGTGCTCTACTATTGGTGGTAGTGTCTACCCGTCTACCGTGGGTTGTACTATTGGTGGTAGTGTACCCATCTACCGTGGTGTACTATTGGTTGTGGTGTCTACCCGTCTACCGTGCTCTACTATTGGTGGTAGTGTCTACCGTCTATCCTGGTGTTGTACTATTGGTGGTAGGGTCTACCCGTCTACCGTGGGTTGTACTATTGGTTGTGGTATCTACCCGTCTACTCAGGTGTACTATTTGTGGTAGTGTCTACCTGTCTATCATGGTGTACTGTTGGTTGTGGTGTCTACGGTCTACCGTGGTGTACCATTGGTGGTAGTGTGTCTACCCGTCTACCGTGGTACCGTCTACCGGGGTGTACTATTGGTGACAGTGTCTACCCGTCTACCGTGGTGTGCTATATCGTGGGTACTATTGGTGGTAGTGTCTACCCGTCTACCGTGGTGTACTATTGGTGGTAGTGTCTACCCGTCTACCGTACTATTGGTGTAGTGTCTACCCGTCTACCGTGGTGTACTATTCGGTAGTGTCTACCCGTCTACCGTGGTGTACTATTGGTGATAGTGTCTACCCATCTACCGTGGTGTACTATTGGTGGTGGCGTCTACCCATCTACCGTGGTGTACTATTGGCCGTAGTGTCTACCCGTCTACCGTGGGTATGTACTTTTGGCTGTGGTGTCTACCCATCTACCGTGGTGTACCATTGGTGGTAGTGTCTACCCGTCTACCGCGGTGTACTATTGGCGGTAGTGTCTACCCGTCTACCGTCGGTATGTACTTTTGGTGGTGGTATCTACCCATTATTGGTGGTGGTGTCTACCCATCTACCGTGGTGTTACAGTATTGGTTGTGGTGTCTACCGTCGGGTTGTACCCGTCTATCGTGGTGTGGTGGTGGTGTCTACCCGTCTACCGTGGTGTAGTGTCTACCCGTCTATTGGTGGTGGTGTCTACCCGTCTACCGTGGTGTACTATTGGTGGTAGTGTATCTACCCGTCTACCGTGGTGTACTATTGGTGGCAGTGTCTACCCGTCTACCGTGGTGTACTATTGGTGGTGGTGTCTACCCGTCTACCGTGGTGTACTAATGGTGGTAGTGTCTACCCGTCTACCGTGGTGTACTATTGGTGGTAGTGTCTACCGTGGGGTTGTACTTTTGGTGGTGGTGTCTACCGTCGTGTTGTACCATTGGTGGTGGTGTCTACCCGTCTACCGTGGTGTACTATTGGTGGTAGTGTCTACCGTCTACCGTGGTGTACTATTGGTGGTAGTGTCTACCCATCTACCGTGGTGTACTATTGGTGTACTATTGGTGTGTCTACCCGTCTACCGTGGTGTACCATTGGTGGTAGTACCCGTCTACCGTGGTGTACTATTGGTGGTAGTGTCTACCCGTCTACCGTGGTGTATTGGTGTCTACCCGTCTACCGTGGTGTACTATTGGTGGTAGTGTCTACCCGTCTACCGTGGTGTACTATTGGTGGTAGTGTCTACCCATCTACCGTGGTGTACTATTGGTGGTAGTGTCTACTCATCTACCGTGGTGTACTATTGGTGACAGTGTCTACCCGTCTACCGTGGTGTACTATTGGTGGTAGTGTCTACCCGTCTACCGTGGTGTACTATTGGTGGTAGTGTCTACCCGTATCGGGGTGTACTATTGGTGGTGTGTACCCGTCTACCCGTGGTGGTGTACTATTGGTGGTAGTGTCTACCCGTCTACCGTGGTGTACTATTGGTGACAGTGTCTACCCATCTACCGTGGTGTACTATTGGTGGTAGTGTCTACCCATCTACCGTGGTGTACTATTGGTGGTAGTGTCTACCCGTCTACCGTGGTGTACTATTGGTGGTAGTGTCTACCCGTGGTGTCTACCGTACCGTGTACTATTGGTGGTAGTGTCTACCCGTCTACCGTGGTGTACTATTGGTGGTAGTGTCTACCCGTCTACCGTGGTGTACTATTGGTGGTAGTGTCTACCCATCTACCGTGGTGTACTATTGGTGGTGGTGTCTACCCGTCTACCGTGGTGTACTATTGGTGGCAGTGTCTACCGTACGGGGTTGTACTTTTGGTTGTGGTGTCTACCGTCGGGTTGTACTATCGGTTGTGGTGTCTACCCGTCTATCGTGGTGTACTATTGGTGGTAGTGTCTACCCGTCTACCGTGGTGTACTATTGGTTGCAGTGTCTACCCATCTACCGTGGTGTACTATTGGTGGTAGTGTCTACCCATCTATCGTGGTGTACTTTTGGTGGTGGTATCTACCCATCTACCGTGGTGTATTATTTGTGGTAGTGTCTACCCATCTACCGTGGTGTACCACTGGTGGTGGTGTCTACCCGTCTACCGTGGTGTACTATTGGTGGTAGTGTCTACCGTGGGGTTGTACTTTTGGTTGTGGTGTCTACCGTCGGGTTGTACTATCGGTTGTGGTGTCTACCCGTCTATCGTGGTGTACTATTGGTGGTAGTGTCTACCCGTCTACCGTGGTGTACTATTGGTTGCAGTGTCTACCCATCTACCGTGGTGTACTATTGGTGGCAGTGTCTACCCATCTACCGTGGTGTACTATTGGTGACAGTGTCTACCCATCTACCGTGGTGTACTATTGGTGACAGTGTCTACCCGTCTACCGTGGTGTACTATTGGTGGTAGTGTCTACCCGTCTATCGTGGTGTACTATTGGTGGTAGTGTCTACCCATCTACCGTGGTGTACTATTACTATTGGTGGTAGTGGTAGTGTCTACCCTACCGTGGTCTACCGTGGTGTACTATTGGTGGTAGTGTCTACCCGTCTACCCGTCTACCGTGGTGTACTATTGGTGGTAGTGTCTACCCGTCTACCGTGGTGTACTATTGGTGGTAGTGTCTACCCGTCTACCGTGGTGTACTATTGGTGGTAGTGTCTACCCATCTACCGTGGTGTACTATTGGTGGTAGTGTCTACCCATCTACCGTGGTGTACTATTGGTGGTAGTGTCTACCCATCTACCGTGGTGTACTATTGGTGGTAGTGTCTACCCGTCTACCGTGGTGTACTATTGGTCAGTGTCTACCCGTCTACCGTGGTGTTAAAGTATTGGTGTTGGTGTCTACCCGTCTATCGTGGTGTGCTTTTGGTGGTGGTATCTACCCGTCTACCGTGGTGTATTATTTGTGGTAGTGTCTACCCATCTACCGTGGTGTACCACTGGTGGTGGTGTCTACCCGTCTACCGTGGTTTACTATTGGTGGTAGTGTCTACCCATCTACCGTGGTGTACTATTGGTGGTAGTGTCTACCGTGGTGTACTATTGGTGGTAGTGTCTACCGTGGTGTACTATTTGTGATGGTGTCTACCCGTTTAACGGGTTTTTGTCCAAGGATCTGGGGTATCAACAGAAGCACGGGTGTCGTTAACTTGTTTCTGTAATATTTTACACAAGTAGCCGCTTTGAAGTATCCCTATCATCAGCCATCTGTAAACACACATACACGCACATACACGCACAGAGAGAGAAAGAGACAGACAGACAGAGCTTAGGAATTCTGGAGTGTTTCTCAAGTGGGCCGTGTTCCGTCGTAAGTTATATATTCGTGTGATATTTCTGACACAAAAAAACTACCTCTCCCCAGGGACATCATTTCATTGAGGTGTCGTACATTTCCATAATTATACACTTGTTTGTTTTTAGGGCGCATCGTGCATCGCATATTGATACAAGAAGAAAAGCGCGAGGTCACATTATTACCTGTGCGGGCACCTGATTTCACGTGAATAGCCTCGGGACGGGTTTGGCATATTAAACAACTGCATTGTACCGACCTTCAATAGATGGTGTCAGACTTGTAAAGATGATGTGTACAGAGACAGGACTAGTGCTACCAGTCCCATCAATTTCATGCTATATTAAGCACAACACTTACAAGTAACGGAATTATTTCACGTTTTAAGCGTTGCATTTGTGCAAACAAATACGAGGGGAATAGTTGAAGTCAGGGCGTCTGTCCGTGGCGAACCCCTAGCTGGTCGTCTTTGTTCTGTCGTAAATGCTGTTCCCGACAACGCAGTATACAATGACATTTAATACATATCTTTTACATGACAGTCGCAGTGAGTGAGTTAAAATTTAAAGTCGCATCGGCATTGTTTCAGCCATATAGCTACGACGCCAAGTCGACACATATACTCACAGTTAAAAGAAATTTATCTGAAAGTTATTGGTCAATGACTGTTTGAAAAATTTGTGTGTACCCCGTTATAGGTGTGTAAAACAGGAAAAAGAGGTACCCCGTCGTCATAGCAACCAACAATTTGCTGATTTATGAAATATCGGCAACTCATCTTGTAATACAGCAAAAAATACTATGGATCTCACGTTCTATGGGAAATGAACATGGGTTTAAGATTTTGGTTGTTGGCACGAGAAATACGGTTTTATATACCAGTGTCATGGACGGCGAACCCACAGGTGTAAACTTATAGATTCTAATGTACCTTTATGTGTATAGACATCGTTACTGAGTATTATGGTGAAAACTTTACACCGTCTCGCATCTTTATCGCAAATGGCGTGACGAATGAAATTTGACTTTTACCATCGATCTAGATGACAATACCAGTGCATATACCCAAAGCTTTTAACAGCCATTGTTAGGTTGCAGGGGAATCTTTGAGGCCAAACCTTAGTGAAACCTTTACCAATTTTCTATATATGTCCATGGCCCGGCTAAATGGTTTAAAGGCAATTCATCGTGGCATATACACAGTAGGTGAGTGTGCTGTGTGTTTTCACTGTGTCGGTGTGTGTCGGGATACAGATACCTGTGTTAGTCCCTTACTGCCGAGTGCAAGGCAGACTCTTCGTGGGAATATAAAGGTTACTTGTACTGGTTTAGATCGCTGGGAGACCGCTTCATATGGATCCGCTTGTACAAAGCGGTTGCTCCCGCAAAGTTAATACCGTCTTTTTCGGCTTGAATGCATGCAGAGAGGGTAATTTCATGTGATTTCATAAGTGCCAACGACGTAAATAAGGCAGCTGGACCTGCTGATGAAGGTGTGATCAGTTAGAAAGCTTTATATCTTCACCTGTATTTGTCATCGTACAAATATTTAACAACTCGATACCCCGACTCGGTGGAAGATACAATGTTTATATACGCCAATGTGCTGCTCTGTGTTCACACTGCTGTGTTTTTAGTAACACTCCTTGAGCGGGTCGAGGGACAAAGCTGGCAGGATGGGCCCCGGTGTAAGTCTGTCACCATTAGATGTGTACCCGAGATGACATGTGGATCTTACAATGGTAATTCCAACTCTTTACAGTAACAAGTACTCCGCTTTTATGAATGCCATCTCACCTTTCGCCCGTCAATCCTTTAATAGCAGTGAATTGGAAAACCAGTTGCACTCGGCGTAAAACACGATATTGACAATAGGCCTTCTGTAAAGATGCAAACTCCTTTTCCTTTAAATATGTCAAAATGACCCTCTCTGAAACCTTTAGAAATTCACCCTTATCTTAACCCTTTCCGTTCCACAAAGCTACGGTAGCGCCAATATGATCGTACGTCCTGCACTGTAACACAGACTTACGGCGGAGTGGACCCATCTACAACACAAAATTTCAAACCACAATCTCCTATAACGTAACTTGTGAAATTCAGCACAATGTCATTTGAGCCAAACAACAGGACTGCTGGGACCATCGCGCATCCGAGTCCCTCTCCGAGATCTGTCGTCTGTGTACGAAATGTCACTGAATATACACAGGGATGTTGAGGGTTTTCAATATTTATTTGAGAAACTACTTCTGCAGTACATGTGCACGCGATGTGTCATTTAACGCTGTTATATCTGCTTACTGGATGATCAAGGTGCTGTTCTGTACCTTTTTTTGTTGTTTTACGCCGAACTCAGCAATATTCCAGCTATATGGCTGCCGTCTGTAAATAACTGAGTGCTGATAGAGCTGGAATATATTTGTAACCACAGCGTCGAAAATCGCCAATTACTGCGGGGAACACAATGATAATGTTTACCTAGCGTTATACAGTGGCAACATACAGATCCTTTGGTAAATACTACTTCTAAGAGCCCATATGCAAATGAGATTAAAACCGTTGGAAGATTAGTATGCCGGCAGCTCACTCACACAGCATTACAGCAATTCCTGGCTCGCCTGACCTGACCCGCCATTTTGGACGTGCAGTGTATGATTCTGAAGAGCAGGACCGTGTAGTGCATGGATAGAGCGTCGGCCTGGGAAGAGCGTCGGCCTGGGAAGGCAGGGATGCGTCGTAACTGAAGACGGTAATAACTGGCACTCGATGTTTCCCTGCCTGGCATTCGTCATTGCACGCACGCACGCACGCACGCACAGAGAATGTTTATGTCACGGTGACTTGCCTTAGAATCATTGAGCTGGGCCTTGGCATTTTAGCCAAGATATCGGAATGTAGGTACAGGATTTCACCATAACATGGCCTCTAAGATGTCAAGAGTAGTCTCCCTTTAATCATTAACGTCAGCCCAGAGAACACCTTTCCCGACAACCTAACAATTGCTGTTACTTGTCCCGCCATCTACTGTAGTGTATGAAGAAAACTGACAGCGAGTTGTTTCCTAATCCCTACAGAGTACATGGTGAGTTTCTACACAGAGTACATGGTGAGTTTCTACACAGAGTACATGGAGTGAGTTTCTACACAAAGTTCATTGTTATGTCTCTACGAGGTGAATCTTGCCATGTCTGTACAGAACCAGACACAGGGAAACTTAATAAACCTGCTCCTATTCCAGTGCTCCATGTATTTTCTGCATTGATGTATAGATATATACAGGCTTAACCTAAGAAATTTCTCAAGGCCTCAAAAGTAACTCACCTTTAGTGCTAGATCAGAACAACAAAATGCAGCGACCATTCCTATCTCTGCTGAAGGTTTCTGTGGTTCATAAGACACGAGGTAGAGGGTCTAATAGGCCAGCGGGTATTTGGAAAGGCAGTTAAGGTTGAGATGTCAGAACTGATCACATCATGATATTATGAAATTAATGCCATTGCTCCTTTTGAAATTGTAAGCAAGAAGGAAAACCAAGTTCTATGGATAGTCAAATTGGAAGGAAGAAAAGGTTTGTTTACATTGTTTACATTGTAAATCAGATTTCGAACGTTCTGTTGGACAAACTATGACGTAGAAGCCACTGTTTTTAATGGATGAAGCCTTGTGATTCTGGCAAAGGCTGTATCCTTCAGTGTTGGTCACTCGTTGTCAACCTGAACGCTGACGGGCCTTAACTTCATGTTTGCTGCCCAATCGTCTGATAGTCTTGCAATACAGTAGTCCTCAGAGACATGCCAGCATTCGCATAGAAATAACTTGCTAGTGTCAGTTGAGAAGACCCCACATTTGCTTATGAATATTCCTAGTTATCGACTTTACCACTGTATGAAACCCACAACATGGGGTTGACAAACATATGGTCCTAACGACAAATCTAGAAGTGAAGCCATTGCACGTCTAAGGGAAGCAACTCTGCACAGCAAACTATGACGTCATCACCTCACCTCCCATTAACTGGTGTATTCAGAGTAAAAGAGGTTGGATTCTCTTAAGTGTATATGATTTGTTTGAGTGGCATTCTAGAAGTTGGTGGTATAGAGATGACAACTTTATGGATGATCAACTTCTTTCTTTTAACAATAGCAACGTTTCGGTATAGGTTCTTATACCGTTTTCAAGCATATGGGGGAATGATGGGGTACATCAGTTTATGTACAAGATAAGATAATGCGATAACAAAGGTGGGAAAAACAACCTTCATACTCACATTCCTCACCACTGGTTTCTCACTAATCCCCCCCACCACCTTGGCTTCTGCCTAATTAACTCACATTCACTAATTGTCATGGCAATCCCATTTTGTTATCTTCAGCTCATAATCATGTCATGGTAGCTCATCATCATGTCATGGTAGCTCATCATGTAACTTTCTTTCATGCTTTGTTTCCCCAGCCTTGTTATTGTTATCGTATTATCTTATCTTGTATATAAACTGATGTACCCCATCATTCCCCCATATGCTTGAAAACGGTACAAGATCCTATACCGAAACATTAAAATATAGAAGTTGATCATCCATAAAGTTGTGTCATCTCTAAGTGTATATGGAAACCACCAATGGATTCCAGGACGTTGGGAGAAAAACTACTTTAAGCTTTACAGTACAAAAGACAAAACACCATGATTTATTTCCAAATTTAAAAGTTTTATTTGTGTGTCACTGATTGCATCCTTCCATTGTTCCAGCCTATAAACAACAAAACAACAGAAGCCCCACTCAGGTAGCCATGGCATCTCCGGGCAACAACGGGTCATAAATTAAGTATCACGTTTCTCAATCCTACAGCGTATTTGTTGAGGTTCTTGTCAGGAGCATTAGGTTCATATTGGACTACTGGCCTGGAAAGAAAGACGCGCTGTGCGAAGAAACATTTCAAGTCCCAAAATAAATCTGACATCAAGTTACCAATAGCTTGTTTTTTTTAATCAGTGAGGGTGAAGCTCTGTTAGGTACAGTACTGACTGGAATGGTCACACAATTGTACAGATAATGCTAAAAAAGTCTTTGAAGTACACATGTCATCAATAAAAACATTTACAGGGCAATAACACAGACAAATATTAATAATCTTTAAGTTTAATTAAGAGTATTTAAATTTCCCCTTTTTCCCATGCAGCAACTTCACATGAAACAAAAACCCATGTCTTGTCATTTCTTGCTTTATGGAGAGAAAATGTTAAGTGAAACTTGCTGATTTACGTTTTCTGCAGATTTCATAAGCAAATAGATAAACCAGACATCTGTCTGTTCATTCACTGCAACCGACCTTCAAATGACTGAAAAGGACCCCATGCCTTATATGGGCAGACTACCATGCAAGGCTCAGCAAAACCGATTCCTGGGACACTGGAGTGATGAAATAACTTGTGTCTGCCAGCACTGCCAGGAATCAGCCATGTGACTATTCCTACTCTACCGAATTTCATTAAACAATAAGGTGTCATGGATCAGAGTTCATAAACAGTCAACATGGCAAGGACAGACTTCAGGGACATTATGTCGGACTGCCGAGGATCAATACTATTTGCTGGAAGGGATTCACTACACAACCCTGCATCAAGGGAGTTTAGTTTGTTTTAATGGTCCATCATTACCAAACCATTTTTGTTACAGACACTACAATAAGCTCAAATTTGACACTTAAAGGTGTTACTCTCAAGACAGTTTCCTAAGCATGAAATGTTATCTTCGTTATGAGCTTTACATGCAAATGGGCTCAATTAAAAATAAATTAAAAAAGTACATCATGAAAATAATCCTTCCTGGAAAATAGCGAAATAGCTTCGGATGAGAAGTTCATGATTAAGAGTACCTGCATGTACACAGTTCCAACCTGCACAGTACAAATCCCCGATACATACTGACTGAATACAGACAGATACCTGGAGAGACCGTGTCAGTAACACTAGCTTGAGGACTTACACTTCCAGTGAGTTTTTGATAGGTAAAATAGCTACCATCTTAACAGTAAAAGGCACTGGTATAAAATAAAAATATGAAAACAACTGCCACTTTACACCTATTGTAGAAACATCCCTCCCACTTCCAGTTCAAGTCAGTTCAGTTCATCACAGAAGAACTGTTAAACTATCACTGTTGTTTCAAAGGAAATGATGATATGAAATATGCCAAAAGATGTTCATATTTGTGGTATCGTGTCAATTTAACAATTTTCAAACAGTGAGATGGAAATGCAGAATCCTGAAAAAGGGACAAGTAAATAAATCTAAAACAGATCAAGTCAGTTGAGTGAGGTAAGTTACGTACTAAAAACAAATCATGATTTCATAACGTTGCATTGTAACAGCAAGTTTAAGCAAACAACTTTCAATACTTCACAGACTATGACCCTTTGTCCTTAAAACAATTATCATGACCAATTCTTCTGTACAGCAATGTGCTTACACCGTTGTTCATCTGGTGCTTATAAACCTTAAAGTAATGTCATCCAAGAGATTGTGACTAGAAACTGGAACAGTAAATTCTTATGCCCTAAACAATAATGATTCTGTTTCCAGTAGCAAGACAGGTTTGGACAGTAACGTGTTCTCTCAGAAATATGACTGACAGACAGGAGCAAATATATATGACCAAACTGGTGGCACTGAAGGTCAAACTGAAGGTCAGACACAGGCAACAATTGGTCAAGGGAGGAGTGAGTTTTGGTGGGTGAGTGAGGGAGCGTGAGGTGATGCTGCAGGAGGGAAGGGGGGAGAGAGATGCAGGATGGAAGGAAAGGGGGAGAGATGCAGGATGCAGGGGGGGATGGATGGGAAGGGGGAGATGCAGGATGGGAGGGAAGGGGGGAGAGAGATGCAGGACTGGAGGGAAGGGGGAGAGAGATGCAGGATGGGAGGGAAGGGGGGAGAGAGATGCAGGATGGGAGGGAAGTAATAATAATTACAATTTAGACAATATACGTGGCACACTTGTTTCTCACCTAACACCTAATTGTAAGAAACAAGGAACAAAATCGGCAGGAAATATAACTGCGTGCATCTGTATGGTGCAACAAGATTAATCCTGAACATTTACTATCAAGACAATCCATAACCACAGGAAATAGGACATCAACATGGACAAGTAGTCAAAGCGTTCCATAACGTGACCAACTACCATTGAGATCCGTTGTGGCCATATTTCAACAATCACATACTTTATATTAATTTGGGTGACTGAAACTTTAATTTACTTACGACGGCATTTCATTTAAGCCCTTATGGGATGAGTAAATCCCTCCAAATATATATTAGCACAGTGGAACAAAAATGGCAAGTGGAAAAACACACTAACGAAGCAGCTTGCCCCAAACAAGAATGGTGGAAGGTGGCAATTTACTGGATTCTGCAATACTTTAAGTACTTACAGCGGAAGACAGTGACAATAGGCTTCGCACAATGTACTCATTAGGAGAATTAAACTGGCTACATCCGGGATGACAGAGGTCGGGGGGAGAAGAAACTTGGGGGACAGATTAGGTGCTGTTGGCAGGCCCCACAATTAGTACAAGTACCACTTGATGCACTGCGCTAAACAACTTCTCAAACCACAGCCATCAAGTTTGGCTTGTTACATATGACATTAGACAGTCTTGTAATAATGGATCTGTCCCAATCCAGGGGTACTTGCAAACAGCATCATCTTATTAGGTAGAAGACTGTAAGAATATACATGATCTAATGGAAAAAATAGAACAGAACAGAACAGACAGAAATAGAAGGAATATCTGTGGCATAACATTGAACAAGGCTGTACAATCAGCACCTTGTGTGAAAGTATACAAATGCGAACAAACCCACTGTTTTGTCAGAAGTAATCCTGTAACTAAAGACACAACATCATGGAACCCTCCGACTACTGAACCCCCCGACTACCACACCCCTCCCAATAACTCGAGTATTATTATACACAAATTAATAGAGATAATAATATGGTAATAAACACAATAGCCAAGGGATGTTTTATATCTGTCAATAACTTGCCACAGGGCATTAGGGCATGCTTTTATCAACTTTATACAAGACTTTCTCCTAATTCATTGTAAGATTTGAATTATTTAGGACATTTTGATCCTAAAGACTAACCAATGTGAAATCTTGCCACTTTTAAATAATTTACATAAACAATGGAGGACAAAAGGCTTGTTATAACTGACTTCACTCTACTTGATTGACAGAAACAATGGACATGAAAACTATGGTGGAGAATGTGGCCTGGTGAGGACTGCTGTTTGTTGGGCTGACCGCACATGGTGACGACTGCAGGAAGCCATGGTTTGAGTGGAGCTGGTTGTGTCAGTGGCTGCCCCCCCATAATGCACATTGTACATACTATCACAGATCAAAACACGGCTGGGAAGTGGGGGGCGCCTGCCCGATCAGAGACTTGACGTTATCAAATACATGTTTACTATTAACATGGTCAAATATACACCGACACGCTGTCACAGTATAAAATCCAACAAGGTTTTTTCTAAGAAACTCCAACAGACACGTTCACAAACCTAACAAAATATTTTCAATTTGTACCAAAAAATGGTTTTCACGGATGTTTCGTACACAATCTTTTTACACAAATATTCATCAAGAGGATTCCCAGAGAATGAGGGTAATTCACAGCGTCACTTCTCTTCTTTGTCTTGAGTTTCAAACACACTGGAATCGGTAGCAACATTTGCTTCAATTTCAAACATCCTTGCGCGAACCGTCCAATCCAAGATTTGTGAAGTATTTATGCTTTCTGTCAGAAATGCTGGGTCATCTTGGAAGCAGAAGCAGTCACACAGGTGAATCCCATTATTAGCAGACAAATGGTGAAGTCCACATCCACACAGGGTGGCGGTGAGCAGACATCTAGAATGTTATCCTGTCACCCCTTCCTTTCACTTGCTTCCTCATATGAAGCTGAGCACTGGTTGAGTCCACGAGTGGAAAATAGGGGTGAAAGGAGACACTGTTGCACAATAGTTTATTTTAAGCAAAGCAAAAATTATCCCATGCTTCCAAAATTGAATGATGTAGGAACTTGTTTGGTTGTGAACATGTAACCCCCTCTTTGTTCTATCTGCTTGGAATCTGAAACAGAGTGAGTGAGTGAGAGTGAACATCTAAGCCAGCCAGTGCATATTCAAGTTTGGATCATACGAACCTGCTGTACTACAAGCAGTGACAACATAGAAAGCGCAAAGCCATGAATATAGTGCTAATGACAACATCGTCGGGACACGCGAGGACATGTTGTGAAGACACGTGGTTGGGACATGCGAGGACATGTTGTGAAGACACGTGGTTGGGACACGCGAGGACATGTTGTGAAGACACGTGGTTGGGACACGCGAGGACATGTTGTGAAGACACGTGGTTGGGACACACGAGGACATGTTGTGAAGACACGCGAGGACATGTTGTGAAGACACGTGGTTGGGACACGCGAGGACATGTTGTGAAGACACGCGAGGACATGTTGTGAAGACACGTGGTTGGGACACGCGAGGACATGTTGTGAAGACACGTGGTTGGGACACCGCGAGGACATGTTGTGAAGACACGCGTGGTTGGGACACGCGCGAGGACATGTTGTGAAGACACGTGGTTGGGACACGCGAGGACATGTTGTGAAGACACGTGGTTGGGACACGCGAGGACATGTTGTGAAGACACGTGGTTGCGACACGCGAGGACATGTTGTGAAGACACGCGAGGACATGTTGTGAAGACACGTGGTTGGGACACGCGAGGACATGTTGTGAAGACACGTGGTTGGGACACGCTGAGGACATGTTGTGAAGACACGTGGTTGGGACACACGAGGACATGTGAAGACACGTGGTTGGGACACGCGAGGACATGTTGTGAAGACACGTGGTTGGGACACGCGAGGACATGTTGTGAAGACACGTGGTTGGGACACGCGAGGACATGTTGTGAAGACACGTGGTTGGGACCTCGCGAGGACATGTTGTGAAGACACGTGGTTGGGACCCGCGAGGACATGTTGTGAAGACACGTGGTTGGGACACACGCGACACGAGGACATGTTGTGAAGACAACGTGGTTGGGACCTCGCGAGGGACATGTTGTGAAGACACGTGGTTGGGACCTGCGAGGACATGTTGTGAAGACACGTGGTTGGGACACGCGAGGACATGTTGTGAAGACACGTGGTTGGGACCACGCGAGGACATGTTGTGAAGACACATGGTTGGGACACGCGAGGACATGTTGTGAAGACACGTGGTTGGGACACAAAGTATAATTTGGTATAACCGTAGTTTGTCACACACATTGGTCCACAAATATTCAGCTTGTGGCCATGGCCAGAAATGTTTGCTATATCCATAAGTTCCTTATCATTGTTCTCCTTGAAGACGCAGTAAACTGTTTACCCAGCTATACTCTTCCTGGCATGTGTGGCAGTAATTTATACAGTTAATTAAATTTCACTACAAACAAAAAAGGCTATCAATTTTAATGATGAACGTAAACCCACTTTAAATACTGTCAAACACATAAGATCAGTCGAAAATACTTTTAAAAAGGCAGGCATAAAATAACAATGAATCATTGCCTTGAACTAAATAATACACGTAAATACATTATTCTAGTTTGTTAGAGAAATGTCCACTAAAAGTCAAACAGGTTTAAAACAGAGAAATATTAGCAACAAGCACAAACTGTTTACAGAACTGTCACATATTGACTGCAGTGTCCTGGTTTGGATACTGCTGGGGCTATTGATCCGATTACTAGTTTGACTGTTTGCTGTATTGGGTGAGAGCCATAAACTTCCTAAATACCTGCAGCTGCCTTTCTCTGGTCAGAAAGTTTGAAAACGTCATCCAATTCTTTTGTCTGTGGTGCAGTGAGGGCGCTCGTTAAAGCCATGTACCACGTGGGGTCTGTGGATTGAATGGCTGAAACACACACATGAATACACATATCACAAATATGGTAACAGACAGAAGAGATTCTGAAGTAAAAATATACAGGCAAAATTCCAGCTATATTGTTTAGAATATGCTCTTGTTCACCCAGCACTGACTGGGTACCCGGTAGGATGAGATTAACCTTAACTGTGACTGTTGACCCTCAGCTTGTTTTGTGTACTCCTCAGGGAGCAGAGAAAGTAAACCCCAGGCACACCAGTTTAGTGAATCAGTAATAATTATGTAAAAGCTGAAACTATTCACTCGGTGAACAGATTATCATTAGGGATGGCTATAGGGGCTGTTTTCACTATTGTAACAGCATTGAAATGGTACCCACACATTGCAATAGTAGGATTGTTATCAACAACTGCAATAGAACTGAGATATCAGTAAACATGATACTGACCAATGTAGTACAAATGAACAACTCAAGTCAAAAAGAACAAACACAAATCCAAGTTATCATGATACATGCTAACCAACAACTCTGGTAGGTTTGAAAATCACATAAAACATGAATAATTAATCAGTGCAACTCCTGGTATGTCATGCACACCATCAATGACACCAACGGCCTTGGAAAATTCCTATCAATCTCATACTCCAGAACTCAGTGCACTAAAATCCTCACAGGTGTAATACTTATATAGCACCCAAAGCAAGTTGACAACTCACACTGCAGAACATGTTTAAAGATGACATATTCATCAATTTGACAGCTATCCTCATCTATGGGAGTCTGGTAACTCTCGAGTGCCGTCTCCTCCGCACCATCATCTGTGAACTCTGCATCGCTGTCATCGTCCGTATCACCACGCTACAGAGGAAACACAAGCTACTTGTCAGAATACACCTGTCTCGATTTCTCAGAAAGTCACCTATATCAAGGTTTGTTAGCTATATGTATGGCTTGTCACCTGCACCAAGAACTGTCAGTTTTGTACCAAGGCATGTCAGCAGTATCAAAGATTATCAGATAGGACTTGATACAGCCATCACTGACCCGTACACCCTACACATCAGACCAACCAAATACTTACCGCTTTTTCTAATTTTTCTAAATACTGGTTTCCATCTTCATCAATCTCATCTTCATCACTTTCCAATACTTCTGTGGACATACAAACAAAGCTTTGTGAAATATAGTTCAGTCCACTCATCACTTTAGTCTATAACGTAAACTTTGGATCAGTTTCATAAGGTATCAAGGAGGGTTCCTTGGTTTGATCTCACTCCATCCAAGTTAAACCTACCCTGATCATCATCCCGGTACACCTACCCTGATCACCATCCCGGTACACCTACCCTGATCACCATCCCAGTACACCTTCCTGATCACCATCCCAGTACACCTACCCTGATCACCATCCCGGTACACCTACCCTGATCACCATCCCGGTACACCTACCCTGATCACCATCCCCGGTACACCCTACCTGATCACCATCCCGGTACCTGATCACCATCCCCCTGATCACCATCCGGTACACCTACCCTGATCACCATCCCAGTACACCTACCTGATCACCATCCCGGTACACCTTCCCTGATCACCATCCCAGTACACCTACCATCCTGATCACCATCCCTTCCTGATCACCACCATCCCGGTACACCTTACCTGATCACCATCCCGGTACACCTACCCTGATCACCATCCCGGTACACCTACCCTGATCACCATCCCAGTACACCTACCCTGATCACCATCCCAGTACACCTACCCTGATTACCATCCCAGTACACCTACCCTCATCACCATCCCAGTACACCTACCCTGATCACCATCCCAGTACACCTACCCTGATCACCATCCCAGTACACCTACCCTGATCACCATCCCAGTACACCTACCCTGATCACCATCCCGGTACACCACCTATCCCTGATCACCATCCCAGTACACCTACCCTGATCACCATCCCAGTACACACCTGATCACCATCCCCCTGATCACCATCCCGGTACACCTACCTGATCACCATCCTGTACACCTACCCATCCCAGTACACCTACCCTGATCACCATCCCAGTACACCTACCCTGATCACCATCCCAGTACACCTTCCTGATCACCATCCCAGTACACCTACCCTGATCACCATCCCAGTACACCTACCCTGATCACCATCCCAGTACACCTACCCTGATCACCATCCCAGTACACCTACCCTGATCCTCATCCTCTTCCTGGCCATTCTCGTCACCATCAGAGTCTTCTTCTTCCTTGGCTCGACCTGTCACAAACAGTGTGCAATCACTTGACTGGAATGACTAATGCCATTGTGTATTTCATGCAATGACTGAAGAATTTTTAAGTGGTTTCTTTGTAATCTTAACGAACTGTAAATAATCAAGTCTGGGGGAAGCAAGCTTGTGACTGCTGTATCTATCATCTATGTCCACAAGACACTAACTTGTATATAATCTGCAATGGAGGCCTACTTGTATAGAATCTGCAATGGAGACCTACTTGTATATAATCTGCAATGGAGGCCTACTTGTATATAATCAGCAAAGGAGACCTACTTGCATATGCTCGTTTTAATCCCTGGAACAGGAGCAGTGCTGCAGGTATGATCTGGGGTGCGACAGCTGTAATTTCTGCTGGGCGATTGTTTGGCATATTTAAAACTGAACATAGACCAAGCACACATATCTTTCGGTCGTGCAGCCTGAAACAGAAAGATTATATTCAATGCTATGATTATGCTTACAACTAGGAATGTCACGATACATGATACATAAGTTTCATGAATCGATACGTATCACGATACCCATGTCACGATTTGATACGTATCATGATAGCTATTTTCAAAGCATTATTGTGTAAATATAGTTACATTTTGAACATTAATACTTCATATTTTATAATTGTCCATGAAAAGCTCAACATTTATCATTCTCAGATATTAAAAAGTTCTAATTTCCCATCTTTGTGCATGAAAAATAATCATTTATAACTCTCATAACATCAAAAAACACGATATCATTGCAAAATTCAAACGATACATAAACATTTTTAAACCGATACTTTCAAAACTAAATATCGATACAGTTTTGAATGTATTGATAATTGTAACATCTTAGAAAAAGTATCGATGTATCGTGGCATCCCTACTTACAACCCACTGTAATATCGTTGGTTGCCATGTGCCCTCATGATATGGTTGCCCTCTGTCCTCCCTAACATGGATGCCCCGAACCCTCCGTAATATGGTTGCCCTGAAGCCTCTTAATATGGTTGCCCTGAGCCCTTCGTTATATGGTTGCCCAAATACCTAATACAGTTGCCCTGAGCCCTCCATAATATGGTTCCCCTGAACCGTCCTAATATGGTTGCCATGAAACCTCCTAATATGGTTGCCCTGAGACCACTATAATATATTTACCCTGAGCCCTACAAAATATGGTTGCCCTGAGACCTCTGTAATATGGTTGCCCTGAACCCTCCTGATATGGTTGCCCTGAAACCTCCTGATATGGTTACCCTGAACCCTCCGTAATATTGAAGTGTTAGTCTCAGTACTCAGTGATGTGGTTACCCAATTACGTAGAGTAACAAGGAAAACCGATTTATAAAAATGGACATGAACCCCAACATAGATGATCCTTACCCCAGGAAGCAGTCTGCGTCGTGAAGCCACTGCTTGAGGAACTGTGCGAGTATTGATCCCTGCATGTTGGGGATCTGGATTTTATGTAACATCTCGAACAACAGGGGAGTGTTATAATACAGTGCGGATATGACTACTTGTAAACACATTGTCCTCAACTCCGATGTCTGGACTTCCCGTGTCAACCTCTGTAAAACCAGTTCCACAAATGACGGCACTACCTGCAGCACGGAAACATCGGTCAGCAACTACACATCAAACATCACCTGTAACATTATTACCTGCAAATGAAGTCAACACAAGCTCCTTCACATATTGTTTCATTGTTTCACAAGTAGCTCTTACTCTATAACTGAAGAAGTTTAGCTCTTACTATATAACTGAAGAAGTCTAGCTCTTACTCTATAACTGAAGAAGTCTAGCTCTTACTCTATAACTGAAGAAGTCTAGCTCTTACTATATAACTAAAGAAGTCTTCCTTTGTTTGTGTACTTACAGATATTTTCCAACATGGTGGTATAAATACTACATGGCTTCACAGAATAAACACACCTATTTAAATAATTGTCTTTCATTTTTGTTAAACATCGCAGTGAGCAATATTCCAGCTACAGGAGAGCATTCTGTAAATACTCATGTCTGGACCAGACAGTCTGGTGACTGATATTATGGGAATGCTCCATGCCGTCAGGGTACCATGACATCACCTAAGTCACCAGTTTCACCAAGGCTTCGGTGGCTGGCCAAACCAGTTCCCATCTGTATCTGACCAGAATATTCCCTGTTCTTGGTGAAAACATGTAAAAATCCTTCATAAGAGTTGGTAAAATCAATCAACATTCTACCAGCTGACTGGAGTGAGGTTGAGGGTTTGTGTTGGGTCGGGAAGATGTGGACAGGCTACTTACATGGTCTACTTTTCCTGGACACTGAAGAATAATGACCTCAAGCAGCTTGGCTGCGTGACACTCAGGGTCCTCACCTACATCCCCCGTCAACACCTGCAACACAATACATCGTTGGTATACGCAACATGGTCGTACCTTCTGCTAGATCTCTTGGTAAGATTACAGAATACCGGATACCTTCCTAACCCTAGGGTTAGGGTAAGGTTTAGGGTTAGGGCAAGGTTAATGGTAAGGTTTAGGGTTCGGGTTAGGGTAAGGTTTGGGGTTAGGGTAAGGTTTAGGGTTAGGGTTAGGGTAAGGTTTAGGGTTAGGGTTAAGGGCAAGGTTTAGGGGTTAGGGTAAGGTTTGGGGTTAGGGTAAGGTTTAGGGTTAGGGTTAGGAGTAAGGTTTAGGTTTAGGGTTAGGGTTTGGGGTTAGGGCAAGGTTCAATGGTAAGGTTTAGGGTTAGGGTTAGGGCAAGGTTAGGGGGGGTTAGGGTAAGGTTTAGGTAAGGTTAGGGTTAGGGTTAGGGTAGAGGCAAGGTCAGGTTTAGGGTTAGGGCAAGGTTTAGGGTTAAGGGTTAGGGTTAGGGTTAGGGTTTGGGGTTAGGGTTAAGGTCAATGGTAAGGTTTAGGGTAAGGTTTAGAGGCAAGGTTTGGAGTTAAGGTAAGGTTTAGGGTTCGGGTTAGGGTAAGGTTTGGGGTTAGGGTTAGGGTGACGTGACATAAAACAATATGGTTGGTATGTATCCGGTATTCTGTAAGTGTACCGATCTCTTTACACACTTACATAAAATGTTAACATTCTTACACATTATCCCCATTCTTCTTACACTCACTGAATATTTACTTGAACAAGCTTTTACAACAAAGACTCCATTTCTAGATCCCTGGCAAACATTTTTACAAATACTGATACAAAAATACAGTCAGAAGAATCAACAATGGAGTGCTAGGTATGTTTTCTAAACTTAGTTCCAACAGGGTGCTATAGCATGAGGATAGGACATTGTGATCATAGATACTGACTGTTTTACACATTTCGTAAATGATCTGTAGATACGAGGGGTTGGCTAGGAAGGCTGTGGTATCCACGGTGATGTAGTTGTGCAGGGCTGGCATCATGTCTGGAATCAAACACAGTACGGAGTAGAAGAAGATCAAAAGAAAATATCTCAGAAATTAACCAAAGTCTCAAACTTGACAAAAGTACTGACAACTCACGCATGTAATAGGAAACAGTCATTGAGTACTGAAGACGTTTTCTATCATTGAATAAAGACTAAAGATTCAGATCTCTTCTGATATCCCAAAGCACAGGGTCGTGAAACCCGTTCCCTTGCGGAAGGGAGTTGGGTTTAATGCTACTTAGAACAGAATTCAAGTTACATTTAAACAGGTCAGCTTGATATGGGAGGAAATGAAGTGAAGACTGTCTCGTACATTTACCAACCCCGACAAACTGGGGAGGTGTTGACAGACCCAGAAACCATCTGTTCAAACCAGGATTGAACCCAAGGAACGTTCATTATTTATGGGGAAGAGGGGGAGGGGAGGGAAGAAAGAGAGGGTGATCATATTTTTATTTTATTTTTTAGAGGGGAGAGGGAGGAATTCCCCACCCATTTTTTCTGGCGAGCTGGGGGAGGGCACTTAGTTTGTACATAATTTTTTTTAAATTGTAAATTTTTTTTGGGGGTGGGGGTGGCAGGGCAGCATTCACATTGTACATGCTTCTCCATAAAAATCATCATCATCACCACCACCACCACCCCCAGCCATAAATTATGAACAGTCCCTAAGGTCATAGGTTCTGGCTCTGGACAAAGTTGCTTCTGGTCTACCAAAGCCCTGTTTCCCTGTGAGGTGAAGCGTGGTGGTGGAGTGTGGAGGTACCTGTGAAGTAGTCGATGCCGTCCTTCTGGAACATCTGGTAGATCATGCCGAACACCTCCCACATGTGGTGTGACACCTGGGTGCTGGTCAGGCTGTAGATCAGGGATAACACCTCCTCATAGAAATCTGGAGACAGATCAACATAAACACATTCCAATGTCATCAAACTACAAACTATAAAATCATTGTCATAAACTTATCCATAAAAGCCACATCATTTACATTAATTTGAGGTGACAAAATTAAGTCTAAATAAGCATTCAAACAGAAATGCTGCTCAAATCAAATTTATAGATTTACTAACCAAATCAGTGGTTTAAAGCATACAGAAGCACCAAATTCTGACTTATTCCTATTGTGGGTCCCATATGACAATGCATAAAGTTTCTCTATATAGAAACATTGAGGATATTACTTCAGAACACAAACAAAACTCGGTAAAAAGCAAATATCTTACCCATAATGTTTTGCTGTAAAATTATTCCTATAACATTGAGAACTATTCCTTCTAGCTGGGTTATAATCTGGAAAGAAAAAGAAGAAATTCAGTCACTTCATCCCACATTCATAGAAGCAATACAAGGGAAACAACTCTTGATAAGAAGGTCCCACCAAAAATACCTGGAATTTGCAATGAATAATTAGGTTTTCAAAGAAGATGGTCCTGTGTCCAGTGTACATGTTGCACATAGGCAGAGTGACACACTATTGGTAGCTGTAAGTATGTATGTGTATGGGTGACCATTTCAGGCAAACTCCATTTAGGTCTCGACTCAAAAAGCTTTTTGGTGCAGACTGTTCACCTAGACAATGAAACACGACAATATTCCAACCATATGATGTTAATCTGTGAATACTGAGTCAGACAATCCAGCGATCACTTGACCACCTAATCACATCTGGTCACCTACACAAACACAGCACTGACCACCCTGAAGAAGCCTAGGGGAGATATAGTCGGTGTCCAACAAAAGAATCCAGAACTGACCTCTTTCTGCTCCTCCATGACATTGAGAATTGTTTCCATGGTGTTGAGGATTCCTAGAGCTGTAATGGCCTTCTCTTCAGACCCGTCTACATCTGTGTCTAAGACCTGAGCAAATGTCTGTGCCTGGAACAAGAGAAACGATGACATTGGAAAACACTTCAACATTCAATGTTTGGCCCTAATAAAAGGCACACACACAGAGTGCATGCTATTTAAAGTCAGTCAGCATTATTCAAACCACAACAATAAATCAATGAAAGCTTGCAATAATACCAGTCTGGACAAAGCAATCATTGCCACGGTGTCAGTCCAGCCATGATCTGTAGATCCAGAGCCGGAGACACTTCTCTGCTGCAGTCATACTGCAGCAAGTATGGGCTACAGCAGGGATACAAACGCCCCAATCCATCAAGTGTACTTAATTATTGAAGCCATGCACATCTTTAAATTACTGAAGTTCGTGTACACAGCAACAAGGCAAATCTATACATATTCATTGCCTCTTATCAAAAGCTTAAAGACTTCTCACAGTTTATTTTAATTTCAACTTTCAAAAGGCAATGGCCCACTTACAAGATGACTCATCATCTCAACTGCAATGGGGATGACGTCATCGGTGTAGGTGCAGACAAGTCGCTGCATCACGCCAGTCAGGTCATCGTTCTCGGTCTCGCGGATCACCTTCAGCAACTCTGTGAAATCAAACACTGATATACAATCTACTATAGCTTTAGATTTACTGGTGTCTTGAAGTAACCAACATACTGTGTCACCACAGCGATCAAACTCCCACCCTTTATTACCATTACAACCAAACATCCACATATTGTCGCCATTGCAAAAATACTAATACATACTGTTTCCGTGGCAACCAAACACCGACATACTGTCACCAAACACCTTGAAGAACCAGCAACACAAGCACCAGCAATACTGACTGACACAAGCAGTGTCTGATTGGGTTCAGTGTAGGCTACCCACAGCCCCTAGAGCAATACTGACAGAGATTGTATGACTTGTAGGGCTGAAGGATGATCGGGACACTGACTTACCTAAAATCACAGGCTTGACAAACGGGCGGATATAATTCTTGGCTGAAATGAAAAAACAACTCAGTGTAAGACACATGAAACTATAATGCTAGAAATACTTTATAAGAAGATTCAGTAAGGAAATAATTGGCCATGTACTGCAAAGTGAAGGAAGTCCAATCATATACCATTACGGGCATGTTTACTGTTAATGTCAAACACATCACAATTAATGACCTGTAACTAATGAAATCAGGATGAAATCATCAGGGTACGATGACACCATCAATTAAGTCCCTGAGCCAAGTGACCAACCAATGCATCATTTGATTGGTTTAGTGTAACACTGACTGACTGAGTTTGGTTTTACGCCAACGCTTTGACCACTAGGCTACCCCACCGCCCGTTTAGTGTAACAATTCAAAGCCCGAATCCATGCCAGGCTTTAGCAATGTTGTCACAGTACTAAACCTCCCCACCTGTAGAAGTTCAGTGTGACGAGGCCCCGACTCAAACAGCTGAGTCAGCAGTACTCACCTTTCTCTTGCTCTGTGATGATCATCTGGAGGGCGATGGCAGCCTCCACTCTGACAGGTAGATCCTTGTCGTTACACAGACACGTCTTGATCATCTCGGCAGCCTGCATCAGGTTCTGCTCATTGCGGAACTTCAGCTCACAGAAGTAACGGATCACCCAGCATGCCTTGGGGGAGAAGATACACAATGTCAAACACATCCAAAGGGAGACTACTCTTCCATATGATCTCTGATTTGAGACAAGTTGTAACTCAGAAATAACATATTGTTATCTTCAGTGTTCAATATTACAATGGAACTTTGAGGCTTGCCCTTGTGTTATAGGTTCCCCTGAATCTTTATCCGCTAACATTTGGTCAAGGATCTGTTATTTTATATGCTATATCTCGTCCAGCCCTCACACACTGTACCTGTACAGTACAAGGATTGAAAAATAGGGTAAAAAGAATAATTCGTTCCCGTGTGAATATTCATTATTCTACTCTCGATACATTAAAACATACACTTGACATATGAGAATCAGTTCTAAGTATTTTGGAAAGATTAAAATATATGTATCAAAAATGGAAGATTACATACCCTACCTGGTCTTAGTCTATTAGTGATTATGCCATCACACATGTATTGTAATGTCACTGTTGGCAGATTGCTATGTGCAATCAAAGGCAAGTAATGGTAAACTCACCCTTGCTCTCAGGTAGCCAAACTGACTTGTGAATTCGGGGAAAGACATGGTTTGTCAGCATCAACTCTGCCTGGTCCTTGTAGATTTTCCTCTGTAACAACAGTGAAGACATTTTCTCAGTCATGGAAGGGAGGTAACTCATGGGAGACTGTTGATTTTACAGATACAAACAGAGTTCTCATTGCAGCTCAAGCCATAGAGGTGTATGTGCATTGGGAGGTGTATGTGCATTGGGGGTGTGTGTTGGGGGTGGTGTGTGTGTTTAAACGCTGTAATTGGCAACGAACCAGACAGTCCAGTCATCTACATGAGCATCAATGATAGCCTTTAAGTCACACAGCCTGACCATTTGTTCCATGTATTACAAATGACCTGCATTAACTGCCAGAGAGCTAATTCTGCCATCAAATTCATACATCCAATTACCAAGAGCCAGTTTCCAAAGAGTCGCACTCAAACATACAGAATTACACACTTTAATGAAAAATACATCAAGAATTCTTCTCCTACGTAACATTTATCTAAAAGTGTTAATATTTTTATATGAAAAAATATGATGGTAATATTCTATTTATAATCCAAGTTCAATACTTCTATTTTTTCAGTTTGTAAACGGACCGCCTCCGTGGTGTAGCGGTTAGAGCGTCCGCCCAGAGAGCGGAAGGTCGCGGGTTCGATCCCCGACCGTGTCATACCAAAAGACGTTAAAATATGGTACTTGTCGGTCCCTGCCTGGCGCTCAGTATTAATGGGTACAACAAGGACTGGTCGGCTCGGAGTCAGTATAATGTGTGAATCGGATATTCATGCTTCACTGCGGCATGGTATCTCAGTGGGCTAGCACTATCAAACCAGCTCAAGTCTGGGCTAGTACAAGCAGCCGCACATAACACACACACACGTCGTCATGTGAGCGAAATATTCTCAAGCACAACGTAAAACCCAATTTCACCTCACCTCAGTTTGTAAACAGTAATGACCAGTGTTATATACCATACTGCAATATCGGGAGATCGGTGATGTTGTGTGATTGTGGTGCCATGGTTACACATATCAAGGAAAGCATTATCTCCTGTATCACTTGATTTCAACAAAGCTTTATCTCTGGTGGTAGCCACTTCTCAATGATGGGTTTTCTACAACAATTCTGGCTTTATGATAATCCCAAATTAGGCCACTCTCTGTCCACCCACCTTGAGAAGCACCTCAGCCACTGCCCCCACCATATGCAGGGCCCCGTCCTTCTGGCGTGGGTCAACGTTGGGCTGGGTCAAGATGGACATACAGAATCCCATGGCTTTGTTCAACACCTCTTTCCTTTTGGCGGCCGAGGAGTAGAAAACTATCTGGGCAGCCATCACCGGGGACAGGAAATCTTCAAACACATCTGCAAAAATCAAATAATTTAATAAATTTGAAGCAATTGCAATCAAGCTGCTGAACTTCAGAGAAACAGTAACCATTGGCAATAGAATGTGTCCTGGATGTAGTTATTAGCCTAAGTCCAACAACAAGTTATATCAATAAAGGGCCTTAACTTTGACATAAACAGGTCATGCGTAAACCAAGCAACAAACCAGATACAGATTCTCCATGTGTGTCAATACAATGACAGCTCCAATCATGCTTCAGGAAGGGAGACAACTCACCATACTTGACCCGGATGTATTCATGTGGGTCAGTGTTCCACAGCTCATCATCCTCGTCACTGTGACACATAAGTGGGAATATTACATCCTGCATCAGCGTCTGAAACACACAAGATTCCCCCTCCTCATCAGCTGAACTGACACTGCACCGACACTAAAGTAGAGCTCCAACCGTGGCCCCACTACACAAAGTGATTTCCGCTATTTGACAATTGTAGGCCTATGTTGAAGTATAGAAGTTACAATCACGACACTAAGGTAGAGCTCCAACCGTGGCCCCACTGCACAAAGTGATCTCCGCTATTTGACAATTGTAGGCCTATGTTGAAGGATAGAAGTTATGATCACAGTGTTAAGATAGTTGTGTGCAATGAGTCCCAGGTACTGAATCTACAGGTACAGACCCTGGGACACGAAGATGGAGCTCCAACCATGCACTGTACTGAACGTTAGTCTCCAGTATAACAATGCTTCAATAGGGATGCCATTTCACTACAAGAACACAAAGTATGAAATTCAACATGCCATGGTTGCGGTCTGTTTTATGTGTTTAGCTCCAAGTTTGGAGATCGGTACATGGCCCATAGTCTCCATAACCTAGCAAGCCTCCATGGTGTAATGTGTTCTGTTATTAAATTCAGGACTACTTTCTCTCACCTGCATGTGTTGCTTGATGTACTTCCATGAAAAGGCGTGACTGATTCTGCAACAGAAAAAATACAGTTAAGAACTAAACTTAAAGTTAAACACAATCGTAGTCCATCATACTACTTCATTGCCTTCATTGACAGTCAGAACACTTTGTCAAGGACAATACATGACAATCAGAACACTTTGTCAAAGGACAATACATGACAGTCAGAACACTTTGTCAAGGACAATACATGACAGTCAGAACACTTTGTCAAGGACAATACATCACAGTCAGAACACTTTGTCAAGGACAATACATGACAGTCAGAACACTTTGTCAAGGACAATACATTGTCAGAACACTTTGTCAAGGACAATACATGACAGTCAGAACACTTTGTCAAGGACAATACATGACAGTCAGAACACTTTGTCAAGGACAATACATGACAGTCAGAACACTTTGTCAAGGACAATCAAACACTATAACAGTCAGAACACTTTGTCAAGGACACATGACAGTCAGAACACTTTGTCACTTTGTCAAGGACAATACATGACACTTTGTCAGAACACTTTGTCAGAAAGGGCAATACATGACAGTCAGAACACTTTGTCAAGGACAATACAGTCAGAACACTTTGTCAAGGACAATACATGACAGTCAGAACACTTTGTCAAGGACAATACATGACAGTCAGAACACTTTGTCAAGGACAATACATGATGGTCAGAACACTTTGTCAAGGACAATACATGACAGTCAGAACACTTTGTCAAGGACAATACATGATGGTCAGAACACTTTGTCAAGGACAATACATGACAGTCAGAACACTTTGTCAAGGACAATACATGACAGTCAGAACACTTTGTCAAGGACAATACATGATGGTCAGAACACTTTGTCAAGGACGTATCACACACACGATGCCAGTGATAACACATTACCATGGACAGGGATGGTTGGCGGGCAGACAGACTCACCCAAGATTGATGTAGTTGAGGGTCTGCTGGAGGACGCGGGGAGCGACGTAGATCTTCTGGCGGTACTGGTCCAACAACTTCAACAACACCTGCAGGATCCCAGCTGTAATACAACAAGTACAACCTCCTAGCTGCCAACATTCTCAAATTACAGTATATATTGTTACAACCTCCTAGCTGCCAACATTCTCAAATTACAGTATATATTGTTACAACCTCCTAGCTGCCAACATTCTCAAATTACAGTATATATTGTTACAACCTCCTAGCTGCCAACATTCTCAAATTACAGTATATATTGTTACAACCTCCTAGCTGCCAACATTCTCAAATTACAGTATATATTGTTACAACCTCCTAGCTGCCAACATTCTCAAATTACAGTATATATTGTTACAACCAGCTGATTATTTTGCTGCTTAAATTCTCCATGCAATTTACTTCGTACCAACTGAGAAGGAAGAGCATGTTCACAACAGAGTTCAACGAAATAATTCACATCTCTTTACCGTTAAACCAACATCGTCAATGAAGATTTATTCCTTAAAACTATTTTTCCATAGATTGGCTTATTAATTGTATTTCTTGGTTTTAATTGTATGTTTGCAATCATGCAAGTTTGAAGCTTGTTTCATGCCGTATACTGCAATAGGTTTAGTGTTAAGTTTCACGAATGCTTAGTTTCAAGGTGAGAAGTATCAGCAGATATCTCCAATCACATACACACCTGAAAAGCTCTTAAGGTACCATTCAGCAAACTGTTGGTATTCTCGTGTGACATTTCCAGGACTTCCATACCTGAAAACAGGAGTTACTGATTCAATCTTTCACCACATTAGGCAATATTCCTTTTGTCACACATGGACATTTGAAACCATCACCCCAGTGAGTGAGTGAGTGAGTATGGTTTTACGCCACTTTTAGCAATATTGCAGCAATATCACAGCAGGGGACACCAGAAATGGGATTCACACATTGTACCCATGAGGGGAATCAAAATCGGGTCATCAGTGTGACGAGCAAACACTTTAACCACTAGGCTACCCCCGCCCCTGTTACCCTAATGACAAGCATCTACTAGGATGTTGTGACGAGTGGGGTCACAGAAAACATTTTAACATCAATACAGGCCAGGAAGACAATAAATGATGATCTTAACTGCAGTGTGCAACTCAAAACTGCCACAAGACAGCAACTGACCAATCAGAGAGCCAGATTCTTTAACAAGTAACACAATGATACCCTACCTCTCAAATATTCGAGCCAGTATATGAACTGCCCACTTCTTTACTTTCCACCAGGCCAGCTCTGGGCGGTCATCCTCATCTATCTGGTTGGTCTCCTGCAAGTAGACACCATGTGTCAGTGGTATTCCCCTTTGTCATACCTTGATGACACTTATCTTGCACTATCATGACAGAGATGACATGTGAACCTACAGCACTGACATGGTGAACAAGTCAGGAACAGTGATATGTCAATCCTTGTCCTGGGAACCAACACCATGCATGACAATCCATGTCCTGGGAACCAACACCATGCATGACAATCCATGTCCTGGGAACCAACACCATGCATGACAATCCATGTCCTGGGAACCAACACCATGCATGACAATCCATGTCCTGGGAACCAACACCATGCATGACAATCCATGTCCTGGGAACCAACACCATGCATGACAATCCATGTCCTGGGAACCAACACCATGCATGACAATCCATGTCCTGGGAACCAACACCATGCATGACAATCCATGTCCTGGGAACCAACACCATGCATGACAATCCATGTCCTGGGAACCAACACCATGCATGACAATCCATGTCCTGGGAACCAACACCATGCATGACAATCCATGTCCTGGGAACCAACACCATGCATGACAATCCATGTCCTGGGAACCAACACCATGCATGACAATCCATGTCCTGGGAACCAACACCATGCATGACAATCCATGTCCTGGGAACCAACACCATGCATGACAATCCATGTCCTGGGAAACAACACCATGCATGACAATCCATGTCCTGGGAACCAACACCATGCATGACAATCCATGTCCTGGGAACCAACACCATGCATGACAATCCATGTCCTGGGAACCAACACCATGCATGACAATCCATGTCCTGGGAACCAACACCATGCATGACAATCCATGTCCTGGGAACCAACACCATGCATGACAATCCATGTCCTGGGAACCAACACCATGCATGACAATCCATGTCCTGGGAACCAACACCATGCATGACAATCCATGTCCTGGGAACCAACACCATGCATGACAATCCATGTCCTGGGAACCAACACCATGCATGACAATCCATGTCCTGGGAACCAACACCAAGCATGACAATCCATGTCCTGGGAACCAACACCAGGCATGACAATCCATGTCCTGGGAACCAACACAATGCATGACAATCCATGTCCTGGGAATGACAACACCTGTGAACCATGCATGCATGACAATCCATGTCCTGGGAAACAACACAAGGCATGACAATCCATGTCCCTGGGAACCAACACAATGCATGACAATCCATGTCCCATGAACAACACAACATGCATGACAATCCATGTCCCATGAATCAATACCATGCATGACAATCCATGTCCTGGGAACCAACACAATGCATGACAATCCATGTCCTGGGAACCAACACCATGCATGACAATCCATGTCCTGGGAACCAACACAATGCATGACAATCCATGTCCTGGGAAACAACACCATGCATGACAATCCATGTCCTGGGAAACAACACAATGCATGACAACCCATGTCCTGTGAACCAAAATGGTGCACCAAGAAAACACTAGGACTTGTTACAGGCACATCACCTACCTGGGGCACTTGTCTGTCAACGATCTGCCTGAGCACTTCCATCCACTGTGTAAAAACCTCCTTGGGTACAGTTGCTTGGGGCAGGAAGTTCTGTAGGTAGAAAACAAACCATGGTACAGTTCCATGAGAGATTCACTGGGCAATCCAGAACAGAGGATCAAGCCAAGCCAGCAGCTGTTCTTTGTCTGTCTTTAAGCTCTGTATCATATAGGATGATTTCTTTCTTTCAAAGACTTCAAAATAGTTTGCGTTTATGGAGGCCGTTACATAATCCTGGTAATAACCTGTGCATATACTGTGTAAACCCTCACAGCAACATAATGTAACACAAACAATGTCCATTCCCTTAGCAAACAGTACTTCAGGATAAGAATTAAGCAAAGAGATGAATAATGAATTCTCTTGAGGACTGACCTGTGTGAAAGCAAAGAAAATCTTGAGAATCTGCTTTTGGAGGAGGTTGGAGACTTCACTATTGTCCTGCAGCAGTGGCAGCGTCCTCTGATACACCAGCGGCAACATGTGCACCATCATCTCATCAAGCACCTTGAGCTCGTCAGCTCGCTTGTACCTGCAACCAGTAGCAGCTGAATACTTGCTTGTGACTGACTGACTGACTGACTGACTGACTGACTGACTGAGTTTTGGTTTGACAACGCTTTTAGCAATATTCCAGCAACATCATGGCAGGGGACACCAGAAATGGGCTTCACACATTGTACCCATGTGGGGATTCGAACCCGGGTCTTCGGCATGACAAACCAACGCTTTAACCACTAGGCTACCCCACCACCCACTAATTGCTTGTGACCAACATGAGATTATGCTGTTCAGAACAAAGCTAAGTGAGACACATACTCAGGTGGGAACTGGATTCTTAGGATCATGGGTTTCTGGAATCAGTCTGCACAATAACACAAACATTGGGAGCTGGGAACCTATGATATACACGAGAGGCCTATCTAAGGGTCAAGTATGGGTATTCCGCCATAAGGGAGAGAAGGATGAGGCACCACAGAATAATTGCAGAGTTACTTACTCATATACTTTGACCAGCTGATAGAGGGACATGAGCGCTCCCATCAGAGTCTTGGGGTCTTCAGTCTGGATGTACACAGCGATCTTCTCTGCCAGGTTCGGCCAGCGTCCTGGCCAGTCACTCTTAGCCATGTGACTGATGCACACACACAACTGGACCCTGGAAACATGGCCAACAGTCCATGGATATCTTGCTGACTCACAAGGCCACAACATCTTACATTACTGCTTTTCAGATTTCTCTCGAGGAAAAATACATGTTAGGCATTATAACCAGCACCTACATTAGATTGTTTTATTCATTATCTTGTTTCAACCATGATGATCCTATCCTTGAGTAATGATCATCGGAAATTCATATTGCATCTGTCCTTAGTTCAAGCGATGCCTCTAAATGCCCATTTTCATGCCTAGGACCAACGAAACATTAGTCTCCATAACATCTTAAGAAAGGCCAAGCTTCACTGTTGCAACCTTTTGTGATCAAGACATACAGTTGACATGTTATTCATGTATTTCTGCGATCATTTCAGTTCTAGGTGAAACAATAGCAACACTACTCACTGATATTTGGTGACAAAATTCAAGCACAAGGAAAAGTATTGCCACGTAAATTGAATACACAATGCCACTGACCACTTTCAAAATGACATAATGTATTCAAAGCTTTCAGCCATGGGGGCCAAGCCAACTTGTCTGGGGTACATAAAGTATGTCATCTGGACTACCAGTTGTCCGACTTCCATTCTTGTGGAAGCTGCAGTGACTGAGTAGGGCACATCGCTGGTGATGAGGTGTGAGAGTGTGTGGTCGAATCCAACATGGGACTCAATCCAACAAGTACTAGAATCTGTAGAAAGTATAATCCCAAATATGACATGATACATAATCTAGCCACCAGAGCACCCTTCTCACCTGACAGGTTCTGGGGCATGGATGATGGCTTCTATAAGGTTCTCACGAATCGCCTGTCTGTCTTGCTCGTGGATGTTAAATGGGACGGCATCCCCAGGGTTCTCTGCCTCTCTCTCTATCCAGAACTGGGTGATGATGTTCTTGAGGTATATCACACCTGTAAGGCAGGTAAAATATTCAGGTAAATCTAACTCTACGCAGGTGAAACTTTCAAGTGAATGACACCTGTAAAACACACCTGTATGCAGGTGTATGTTGATAGAACTTTCAGGATAAAAGATTTCAAGAATAAGACGTGTACTTCTGATGAGGCTGTAGTCTCAAGCAATTCATTCTGAATATACATCATGGTGTCTGCATACGCATGTCAGTTTAGACACAGTATTTGTGGCCAGTATTTGGCTCCTGTTTACAGGAGATGTCGGAAATAGGATTTTAAAGATTCCCCATTGATTTTAACTACTGTTATGGCTTGACTGTTGTGGCTTGAGTGACTTGCACTTTAACCTACGATGAGAAATGATAAGTTTTATACTACAACATTTGTTGTTTTCTCAATTATTGCTTGAGTAAATGTAACACATGTCCCCAACCAATTAATAACAACTTTATCCAAAGCACAAATCATCAGTCAAGACTTTTCAATATCGGACATCCGAAAACATATGATCTGACAATATATTGTTAAAGAAATTTGTATCTAAGAATATGTAATTTTTTAAGTAAAATTGATATTTTATACTTATCCTGACTCATGATCTTTTGCTTATCTCCTTCTTGGAATCTTAGTGGAACTCTTGAATCCCTTGTAGTTCCCTAAAGCGGACGTAAAAGTTCTCTCACCCATGAGTTGCCTCCCTTTTCCCGCGCAAACAGTCATGTGACATGCCATGCTTGCCACTCTCTCCTGAATAAGCCCACGCACCTGGGTTTTGCTGGGAAACCTGAAGTGTCTTCTGCGGGGAGGATGGGAGGGCTTGACCTCATGAGTGAGGATAAGTATAAAATATCAGTTTTACTTTAAAAATTACATATTTTGCCTTATCCTGACTCATGATCTTTTGCTTATAGAATCCGACTGATTGGTGGTGGGTCAAGCCACTTCGTGGATTCATCAGCTGTCCTTAGATACGTCCTGTAATCCCCCCCTCAATGGGAAACTGCATAATGGCACTTCCTAGATCCTATTCTTCCAACTTCCGTTGTCAACTCGGGGGAACCACAATCTTGTCTTACTTCTCTCTCAGACAAATGAATCTTCTAGATTCATGCGGATTTAGATATACTAGTATCTTCTTTTTACTAGTTATCTATAACAACCCATAGATTATGATAAGATCGTTATCATAAATGAGTTGTGAACCCTTAATGTACAAGTAAGATCATTACCCGTAGAGAGTCTTAATCACTCATGCTAGTCTAGTCTAGACTGTGCGCATGGACTTTCAAACTAAAACTTCTTCGTAGTAAAAGTTATCAACAAGTCAAAGTGATAAAGGGTGAGATTTCCAACTCAGCGCCTTTGAGGGACCGTTAGTTATAGTGATACAACAAGTGGCCCAAACTGGTGAATGCCGGAGACGTTGTCAGAGGTGATGTCTCTGAGGTAGAGGTTGCCAAACATTGTGTCCGACTTGGAGGTTCTAATCCTGCTGCTTTGTCGGCTCACATCCACAGTGATATTGTCGTCTTTGAGACTTCTACTGTCTCTGCTGACAAAGGGGATGAATAGGCGCATGAATTTTCTTCTCCTTGTTTAGCCTTTTGAAGATATATCTTCAGGGCTCCGACAGGACACAAGGATAAGTCCAGGGTGTCCTTTGTTCCGAGGATCGTAGATAGCGCTGGGACGTGGAACTGTCTGTCCGATTGGCCAAGTAACTGATTCTTTGCAGTGAAGTCCTGTCTAAGTCCTAGATGTACTGCAGCACAGTTTCCCATGTCGTCCAAAGTCTAGAGCATATATCTCTGACATCCGAGCTGCCGTGGCTAAGGCGAGGAGGAACAGAGTTTTCTGTATGAGTGGCTCGAAGATAGTCTACTCTAGTGGTTCGTAGACATCACTCGTAAGATGTTGTAAAACCACGTTCAGATCCCAAACTGGTGCTCTGAATTTCTTCTGCTGGTCTTCCAGCTTGGTCAACATATCTCTCTCTACGTGCTTTGTTCCACAAAGATTCAGGGAGGCAATTGTTATACCCCATCTGAAGTAGTCCTGTGTCGAATCTGCCTTTTGTCTCCAATGTACTAGAAAAGGTTGTTCTGAGACAACTGTTGGCGCATCTCAGTACAGCAGGGCTTCAGGAAATACATCAATCCGCTTATAGGCAGTATCATAGCACCAAAACGGCCGTGACTTAGTGTTGTCAACAACCTACTACTAAAGGCTGATGAAAGGCAAGTCTCTCCGATGGCTCTATTGGATTAAAACGGATGGAAATAACATGGCATTCGAGGTACAGTTTAAGCATGGTTTAAATCTCATGTCAGTGGACGTACACAGAGAGTTGAAATTGATTCCATCCAGTCCAACCCCAGTTCCCTCACGTATGGAGTTCCACAGGGCTCTGTCCTGGGGCCAGTGTTGTTTACTCTATATGTACAACCACTCTCAGATGTCATCTCTTCCCATGACTGTGAATTCGAGAAATATGCAGACGACACCGAAATGTCCAAAAGTGGTCTTCCTCAGGATTTCGGTGCTGTCAAACATGACATCCAATCATGCATTGACGATGTTTTGGAATGGATGCTCAGCAATAAACTGAAATTAAACACCGACAAAACAGAACTTATGCCAGTTGGTGCACCCAACCGTCTAAAACTTATCAAGGATGAGTCAGCTGTTGTAGGAGGGAGTGATATTCCATTCCAACCTTGTGTGAAGTATCTGGGGGTGCACTTAGATCAATCACTAAAGTACTGTCAGAAATAGAAAAAAACTATTCTCTCATTTATCTCTACAATTTATGTAGTTGATATGTGAAAGTGTGAAATATCTGTTAAAGTAAGTTCGGCCTAACTACAGTCTCAGTGGTAGAGAGATAGGAAACGGAGAAAAAGGACTTTACTGAGGGGAAATTAGTGCAGAAATGAGAAATGAGAAATGACTTATTTGGAACAGACCATGGCTTTATGCAAATTAGTGTGCGACAATATTGTATTACAAAGGACACTTTTTAAATGCCCAATTTGAAATTAGACGTAGATTCATTATAAACGATAAATGTCAGTAGTTCAAACATAAACTGCAGCTGTCATCTGAGTTGATCTGCTTGTTGATACGACTAGATTACATTGTCTAGGCAGAATGCACTGCAAAGTCTCCGCTGATGCTAGGTTACACATGTAAATAGTCCCGGGGCTGAGGAAATTCCAAAGAGAAAACACCCTTCATTTCTGCAACAGGCAAGCAAGGGACGTAACTCTATCTTGACTTCGCCGTGACTCACAGAGACGACCACAAAATGGGTATCACCGCCATTTCTTTCTTCTTTCTCGATTTGCGCCAACTTGCTTCTATAAGACCATATCTCACTGAAGACTCAGTTTGCGCGGGAAAAGGGAGGCAACTCGTGGGTGAGAGGACTTTTACGTCCGCTTTAGGGAACTACAAGGGATTCAAGAGTTCCACTAACATTCGCATAGAAGGAGATCAGGCTTTACACATTGTATCAAGTGGAGAATCAATAATGTGTCTTCAGCGTGACGAGTGTAGCTTTAACCACTATACTACCCAACAAAATCCCTGTCTGGAGTTCCACATAATCTAGAGTGTGATGGTGATCTCACCTGCTTGTCTGACGGGCATGTCGATCTGCTCCATCATCACAACTTGCAGCAGCACCGGCCCAAACCCAATGATCTTGTGTACCTGCAATAGCCAAACATACATGAAGACAAGCAAACAAGGGCCAACAATAACCAGAGACTATAAAGTCAAAATAGCAACTGAGAAACTATACAGATAGGTTGAAAGACATGGGTTGTTTCGTTACAATACATTTCATATCAGCATTTGTTATCTGCCAATGTTATCATTCACATTGGGCATTAAAAGTTTTCTTTAAGTATTCACTATATCTACTCCCTCTGATCAAGTCTATTGGGTCTTTTTCAACCAATGAGTAAACCTTTTCTACACTGTACATGTTTATGTTGTTTCCAGTCATCTCACATCTGTACATGTGTTACCCTACGTTGTCACATGTCACAGAAGCTTAGCAGCAACATGCTTCTCAGTTACAATAAGTAAAGTTTAAGGCTATCTGTAGCATTAAACACTTTTTGCTTTGCCCATATTCAGTCATGTAAAGCCCAATGATGTATTGCTCATATTCAATGATGTATATAGCCCAATGATGTATTGCCCATATTCAGTCATGTATAGCCCAATGATGTATTGCTCATATTCAATGATGTATATAGCCCAATGATGTATTGCCCATATTCAATAGTGTATAGCCCAATGATGTATTGCCCATATTCAATGATGTATAGCCCAATGATGTATTGCTCATATTCAATGATGTATATAGCCCAATGATGTATTGTCCATATTTAATGGTGTATAGCCCAATTTCAATGGTGTATATAGCCTAATGACGTATTGTCCATATTCAATGGTGTATATAGCCCAATGACGTTTTGTCCCATATTCAATGATGTATAGCCCAATGATGTATTGCCCACATTCAATGATGTTTAGCCCAATGATGTATGGCCCATATTCAATGATTTCTGTATGTAATTATGTACTGCCCACATTCAATGAGTAAATAATGGTCTGTAATGATAATCAACAAGAAATGACAACATGGGTCAACCATGTACATCGTTGATATAACACCTGATTAGTGTTTCTATCAACCAGTTCAAATTTGCCAACAGTGACACAAGTCAGGTAAGGCATCAGACCAGGTTACTGCTGAACTTATAAATACTGCTATCTGCAATACATTAGAAATGTGACACTATTATCAGTGAATCCATTGGATGCATCTGCTTACACTGTCACTGCACTACATGCCTACACCGTCAGTGCACTACATTCCTACACCGTTACTGCACTGCATGCCTACACCGTCACTTGCACAACATGCCTACACCATCACTGCACTACTTTCCTACACCATCACTTGCACTATATGCCTACACCATCACTTGCACTACATGCCTACACCGTCACTGCACTACATGCCTACACCATCACTGCACTACATGCCTACACTATCACTGCACGTAATGCCTACACCATCACTTGCACAACATGTCTACACCGTCACTGCACTATATGCCTACACCGTCACTGCACTACATGCCTACACCGTCACTGCACTACATGCCTACACCGTCACTGCACTACATGCCTACACCGTCACTGCACTACATGCCTACACCGTCACTGCACTACATGCCTACACCGTCACTTGCACTGCATGCCTACACCGTCACTTGCACTGCATGCCTACACCGTCACTTGCACTGCATGCCTACACCGTCACTGCACTACATGCCTACACCATCACTTGCACATGCCTACACCGTCACTGCACTTAATGCCTACACCATCACTTGCACAACATGCCTACACCATCACTGCACTACATGCCTACACCATCACTGCACTACATGCCTACACCGTCACTTGCACTACATGCCTACACCGTCACTTGCACTACATGCCTACACCATCACTTGCACTACATGTCTACACCGTCACTTGCACTATATGCCTACACCATCACTTGCACTACATGCCTACACCATCACTTGCACTACATGCCTACACCGTCACTGCACTACATGCCTACACCATCACTTGCACATGCCTACACTATCACTGCACGTAATGTCTACACCATCACTTGCACTACATGCCTACACCATCACTGCACGTAATGCCTACACCATCACTTGCACATGTCTACACCGTCACTGCACTACATGCCTACACCGTCACTGCACTTCATGCCTACACCATCACTTGCACTACATGCCTACACCGTCACTTGCACTACATGCCTATACCATCACTGCACTACATGCCTACACCGTCACTTGCACTGCATGCCTACACAATCGCTGCACTATATGCCTACACCGTCACTTGCACTACATGCCTACACCGTCACTGCACTTAATGCCTACACCATCACTTGCACAACATGCCTACACCATCACTGCACTACATGCTTACACCATCACTTGCACTTCATGCCTACACCGTCACTGCACTACATGCCTACACCGTCACTTGCACTACATGCCTACACCGTCACTTGCACTACATGCCTACACCGTCACTGCACTACATGCCTACACCATCACTGCACTACATGCCTGCACCATCACTTGCACTGCATGCCTACACCATCACTTGCACAACATGCCTACACCATCACTGCACTACATGCCTACATTGTCACTTGCACTACATGCCTACACCATCACTGCACCACATGCCTACACCGTCGCTGCACTACATGCCTACACCGTCACTTGCACTACATGCCTACACCGTCACTGCACTATATGCCTACACTGTCACTGGCACTACATGCCTACACTGTCACTTGCACTACATGCCTATACCGTCACTTGCACTGCATGCCTACACCATCACTGCACTGCATGCCTACACCATCACTGCACTACATGCCTACAATGTCACTGCACTAAACACCCACAGCCACTGTACTAAACGCCTACACCATCACTGCACTCCATGCCTACACCATCACTGCACGATAAGCCTACATACAACTTAGCTCTATGTTAAACAGGAGATCCAACATTCCAGTGTACTTGATGCATCTCCAACTGCTCAATAATTGATTATAACGTCTATTTTTCTATGGCTCTTCCACTGGTAATCAAACAAGTTACAATCAGGTGGGTTCCATCAAGCAGATGTTACTGGGTTCAACTGGTTCACATTCAATGAAACTCTGTGGACAACAATGACCAGTGCGATCTGTTATGATGGACAACACAGGCATTAAAGTACTGTCGGAAATAGAAAAAAACTGTTTTTCGGCTGTTACTCTGTATCCTTAAAATTTACACAATTGCAAAAAACATATGTTGAAATAACCCACCGGCCTAACTGGGTGTTCTGTGGGATGTGAAATAGGATATCCAGAAAAGCATGTTTACTCATAAAATCGGGCAAAACTTTGAAAAATTATGAATAGCTGCTGAAAACAATAGATCAGACTAAAGATGGCAATTATGTCGCTCAGCTCAGATGGACCGTCAACTCACCTGGCATGAAATGCATGTGCTGCCTACAGACACAAGGGGTCATCTCAAAGATATTTTATGCTTTTTCATGTGTGTTAAATATGTCTCATCTATTGCTTGACATCTTACTTGTCTTTCTTCCATAAAGTTTATGTTGACATATGTAAAAGAATATGATACCCATAGAAAAGCTTAAGTCGCCCATCGTTTTAAATGTTGCAAAATATATAGGTAGCATGACCACCCGAAGAACGACAGGACTGGACAGGATATTATTTGTAAATTGTTATGACATGCGTTTACTTCCCCAGTTTAACTCCCCCTAAGGATTATCTTATATTAGCTGCTATCTCTATCTCCCAGCCCAGCCCAACCCCAACCACCATCTGCAACGGTCCTGGTTTTGCTTTTGAGACGACCCCTCTTACCTGTTCGTTCTCATAGTGATAGTGAGACTCCATGGTAGCTACAGCCTTAATAGCTTCAGTATTAAAGGTATTATTTCTTATGTCAGCTATCGTTTATAATGAAGATAAGTCTAATTTCAAAGTGGGCATTTAAAAAGTGTCCTTTGTAATACAATATTATAGCACACTAATTTGCATAAAGCCATGGTCTGTTCCAAATAAGTCGCTTTGGACTTCGAAAGAAACCACATTGCTCATTTCTGCACTAATCTCTCCTCAGTAAAGTCCTTTCGACACGTTTCCTATCTCCCTACCACAGAGTCTGCAGTTAGGCTGAACTTAGCTTAACAGACATTTCACACTTTCACATATTAACTACATAAATTGTAGACATAAATGTGAAAAACAGGGTTTTTATATTTCCGACAGTACTTAAGTTACCAGAACCTGTGACAAGGATTATGTATATCTATTGTCAGCAGTTGGCTATTCTAAATTTCAATATTTGTTTCATCCTGGAATTTGAACTGTCAGCCAGTCAGTGAGCAAGTCTCTGTTTGGACTACCAATAATAGACAACTGTTTAATGAAGTATGATGCTACATTAGCCTGTTTCTTAACACCTGTCAACCAGAGGCTTTTACTGCTGTGACACGAGCTCCGAATGACACAGGTAGAAGATAAACCTACATTTAGCAAGGAAAATCAGCATACCATGGCAGGTCTGATCATACTGTTAATAAATATGAAAGCAATTGTTAGCATATTAATTGAATAGTACAACTACAGCTTAAATAACATTGCTTGCTTTTCAATAAGAGTACAAACTTAATTATCCTACCTCATGTAAGAATGTCCATCTCTTACTGGTTAATGTGACCTTGATCAAATCACCATGTATGCCCAGTGCATGTCCATAACCACCCAAGCGGGGTATAAATCTTTGCAAGGGAGAATAAATCATTTATACCCCACCCCATGGAAAAAGCATGCATCCACGGCAGTCAGTGAACCATGACCCAGTGGTTCGGATCGACTTGTCAGTGCCATGTTAGTAAAATATATGATTGAATTTCAGTTTGTTTTAATGTTACATTTACATAATGACTGATTTAAACATTCGGTAAGATACATTTGTTGTAGCATTATGATTCGGGGTATACAGGTTTTTATGCGTCCTGTGTTAGGTTTTATCCACCGAGCCAGTGGATAATAACATCCA